TTTAAAACATCAATGAGCAAATTATTTTTATCGCGATGAAATTCAAATTTTTTAAAGGGTATGTTCGATAACGTCGCACACATCATTTTTTTGGACAACCTCAAATACATAGACGAAATAATCGTCGAATTCGAGCGACGTTTTGCAGATTTTCAAAAAATTTTGAGTTATATAGCACTCTTCACTAATCCATTAACGATTGCAGTTGAGAGTATGAAGATTGATTATTATCAACTAGAACTGTGTGATCTGCAATAAGACCCCTTTTAAAGGTCAGAACAGAAACAGGGATATATTTTTTTAAGCTCCTCGCTGAACGTTTCCCAAAACTGGCGAATTTCGGGCAAAAAATGGGCTCGATGATGGGCAGTACCTACCTTTGTGAGAGTGCATATTCAACAATGAAGCTAATTAAATTGAAATACAGGTCTTCAATGACAGATACTTTACTTAAACATGCACTGCGCCTAGCTACTACTAATACTGGGTGGCGCAAAAGTAAAGACCCTATTTGGTTCAGCTATAACATTTTTTCTAAATGAGAAAACTAGATTTAGGTTTTTTTAAATGTATATTTGTACCATTAAATTTCGTACCATTAGGATTTAAAGATGATGTCTTTTAAATGGTGACCTCCAGAGTTGATACACATTTGAGCCCTATTTATGACATTTTGCATAACTTGCCGTAACACTTCCTGCGATATGTTCGTTATTTCTTGACGAATGTTTTCTTTTAGAGCTGCGAGAGTCTGTGGCTTGTTCACATACACCCGAGATTTCAAAAAACCCCAAAGAAAGAAGTCTGGACTGGTCAAATCGGGTGATCTTGCAGGCAAATCGCCAAAACGAGAGATAACTCGGCCTGGAAAAGCGTCCCTCACTAAGTCCATAGTATCGCGCGCTGTGTGTGCCGTAGCGCCGTCTTGTTGAAACCAGATGTGCTCCAGCCCCAATTCGTCCAAACTGGGTATCAAAAACTCACGTAACATGGTTCTGTAGCGTTTTCCAGTGACAGTTATCGCATTGCCTCCAGCGTCTTCGAAAAAATAGGGTCCGATCACTCTGTCAACACAGATGAAACACCATACAGTAACTTTTAGTGGGTGTAGAGCCACTCGGGTGTATGTGAACAAGCCACAGACTCTCACAGCTCTAAAAGAAAACATTCGTCAAGAAATAACGAACATATCGCAGGAAGTGTTACGGCAAGTTATGCAAAATGTCATAAATAGGGCTCAAATGTGTATCAACTCTGGAGGTCACCATTTAAAAGACATCATCTTTAAATCCTAATGGTACGAAATTTAATGGCACAAATATACATTTAAAAAAACCTAAATCTAGTTTTCTCATTTAGAAAAAATGTTATAGCTGAACCAAATAGGGTCTTTACTTTTGCGCCACCCAGTATTGAGGTTGATATTGACAAAATTATAAAAGACAAATTAATGGAAAAGTAGTTAATAAAATTACGATATTATTATTACGAGCATTTTATTTTTATAAATATTTTGCAGCCCACCAATGTATTTAATCAATTTTATTGGCCCTCGGTCCCACTTAGTTTGGACACCCCTGGTCTAAATATAGCATTTGTTTACATAGCTATCCACAACCCACCTATTAATTATATAATAAAATAATTATTTTTATCTAAAATTTTAATTCGGAATATAAAGTTTAAAAGTATAACGAGTCTGAACATTCTTTTCTATACAAATTAGTAGTTTAAAAACATCGTCGTTATTTGTGGCTTTAAACTAATCGCTGTTGAAAAATGTGGAACGGACAAAATAAACTGTTTCGAAACAACAACAGAACGTTTTAACAAATACTTAAGAATTAAAATATATAAATCTCGTATAACTATCGGAGTGAAATGCGGAAACACAAGTATGTAGAATAATGAGTATTACTCCATATAAGTCGTTTAAATATGTAGTTCATCTAAACTTAATTTCTTAGGGATTTACACCACACTTATATTTTGTAAACCAAAATTAACACTTCTTTTATCACGTATAGTACTTTTACTTTAAGTCAGTGGTGGCCTACTGGTTAAGGGGCCCGCCTCTCGTTGCCGAGGGCACGGGTTCGACCCTGGCAAGTACCAATATGATTTTTCCGAATCATATGTACTTTCAAAGAGTATTTAGACATCACTGATTAAAAGAAGTTTCCCAAAGAGGGTTGATGTCAGGCAGGCGGCCGGTCGTAAAAAAATTAGCCAAAACTATTCACAACATGTAAGGCTGACCCTGGCTAAAGCTGCGAAATAGGCAGCAAGGAGAAGAAGTACTATTACTAAGATTATTTTTCTCATATCAAACACAATAATTTAGAAGAATTTACGCCGATGCCAACTTGCATTATAGGTAATAGAAACTGTCATTGAATACTTTTTAGATATTTAAAATATATTTTTAACGAATAAGTAAGTAAAAATTCCAATAAATTTTAAACTATCAAATGTTTAACCTACTAAAAATAAAAATTATGGTCACTTTGTACAGTTTTAAGCAATTAATATTATTTAATCTAAAATAAAAACTTTATTTTAAATAAAACTGAACACAACACCCTTAAAAATAAATAAAAATAACAGCATCAAAACTTAAATAAAAATTAGAAAATATATTATTTATTTTAGTTTGATAGACAAAATAGCATGCTTTAATTAATTATTATTTAATATTTATTAATCATCATACAATGCATAGGAAAGAAAAGCAGCTGGAAATAGCTACTTGTTTTCTATTATTATGTCTTCGAAAAAATCCTAAGACCTTTAAATTATTAGTGGGAGGAAACAGGCCAACTGTTCCAATTAATTGCGGAGAGCATGCAAAAGGAAGAAGAATACTGTTCATCCGTATACGTGGAATATCTACTACAAAAGGGTGGAGATGCGACATATTTCTGATGTCCGCTGGTGGAGGAATTATATCAAGCAGAGCCTACACACGCTCTCACAAGTGTATACTATAAAATACTTATAGGTTGGCCACTTTGCCGAAGTGCTTAATGACACTACAATGGTTTAACGAAATGGTGGTCACCAATAAACCGTTTTGCACGTCTATACCTTTTATAGAAACGATTAGTTTTGTATAAGTCTCTTTTTTTAATAGCCACATCCGAAGCTTAGCGGTTTCAGGCAACAATGCTTGCGTCTGACACTTCTTCATAAAATAAGGGCGAGGGAACCTTGGTGAAGAGAATAAAGTATAGCAACTATTGACATATAACAGGTAGAGATCTCCAATACACATATGTTGTCGATAACAAAATATAGATAGGCACACTAACGCCGTCTTGTGGCAACTATGTCAACTATGCGTATAAAAGTAACGTTCGTTCTTTTTATGGCAAATTAAAATCAGTCATAGTTCCGTCTTAACAACCGTTTAATTTTTTATCATAAGATGCAAACCCACCTCCAAGGATATTATGCAAAAAAATTACTTATGTCATTCCTATTTGGTGACTTGTATCGCCACCTTTAATCCTTTGTACTAAAAATTACTAAAGATGGACTTTAGTCTCACTGAGATATTCGAAGAACTAAGTCATCTCCTTGTCAGGCTACACTATTCGTAGCTAGCAGCATATTATATAGCGGCTATTTTGGCCACAAGTATTTGGAACTTTGAGAATTCGGAGAATTGTAGTTGACGGATGCACTGATAGCAAACTATTGCTTTAAAATTTAAACGCAGCAAGGGTTCAAATGTTAAGTCAATAGATGGAACAGATTCTGCATACAGCTTCATCAGATAAGGTGTTACGGCTTCCCATAGAAAGAATTAATTGTTTAATTAGTTAGAAAAAAAAATTGATTTAAAACTATTTTTTTTTAAATGAATTGACCCATTGTCAATTATTATTTTAATGTAAGTATAATAAATTTTGTTACGTATGTATTAAATGTACTCTTTTTTAACCACATATCAATTGTGAAATAATTTTGGTTTCAATTAGAGTATTAAGGAATTCTTATATTTCCGACAGCATTATTAAAAACTAGCTATGCCCGCGACTTCGTTCGCATGGAATAGTGACTATGAGCAGCGTTTTTTTGACATAAATTTTTAATTTATGAACCGATTGACATGAAACAAACACTAAAGCATAACTGAAGCATACCACAATATATTCGTGAAAACCGCATCCATCTCGGATCATCCGTTTCTGAGATTAGCGTGAACAGACAAACAGACAAAAAGGTTACTTACATTTTTGGGTTCGACATCGACATAACAATAACCCCTGCTATTTTTTTTATTTTTATTTTCAATATACAGATAGCACTTTTCTACAATTTTATTATATGTATAGATATAACCCAAGCTTACTCTTTTCTTGTGTAGGAAAATACATACATACAAATTCCCTGGACAAGTTTCACTTTGAAATTTATATTTAATATTTTAACTAAAACAAAACAAATGTTGTGGATCCCCAGTAATCCGACAAACATTTTGCATGGTAGAGTATAGTAGTCCTTATAAAAAGATTTAGATTTTTTTATGTCATAAATTGTAGATCAGCCTACGGAGTTTTCACTTACTAAAGTACTGTTACATTCATTACGCTGTAGGCGGTCTAAAATAACATTTTTCTTTAAATGATAGTGTTTTGTGCTTTCACTTAAAGAGCAGATATACTTAATATCCCGTTCATAAATTTTGTAAAATTTTGCAAGTCGTTAAATAAATTATCATTATTTGAATCAAGGTCAATAAATAAAATACGGATTTAATACAAATTGTTAAAAAGTGGGTTAATATTATTTGTTTGGGAGTTTGTTAAAACATGTGCTAAAATATGATTAAGACATTTGATGTCAAACGTCAAATCACATTTATGGTCAAATGTCAAACCTAAAATAATTTTTGAAATTTGGCGTTTAATATGTTGTAATATTATTACATACAAGGGTTTCAAAAAGTACTATTTTTCTAACATCTGCAAGAAAATCATTTGCAGAAATGAACTATGACTTCTCAATACAAAAAATTCACTAAATTAATTGCAAAGTGGCCTATAGATAACAATAAGGGAGAGAGGTTAGTTTTAAAAGATATATTTATAATAATACACATGTTTTAAATAAAAATATTACCATTCTATCGTTATAATTACAGAGATCTCGGGAAGTTTATTCGTGATAAAGTCAAAACTGCATTTGAAGGTGGAAATTTAAAGAATTTAGATTCAGAACTTTGCACTCGTCAGTTAAACTCGTTAAATAAAATAGCTGACAACCATTACAAAAACAAGTATAAGAGGATTCATGATAGTTCAGCCACGGGATTAAGTTCAGAGGAGTGCAACCTTGTTTTATCTAGTGAAGTTCTGCAATATTTAAAAGAAGAGAACAAGGGCTTTTTCAAAAATATCTTTAAAAAGGATTAATCATGTTCCCTCGTGTAAGTCGAGTCCATGCAGTCTTATCGAGACATCAACTTCACACAAAAGCAATGAAATATAAAGACCATACTCCTGTTATGTTAAATGAAGTAATGAAACATTTAAAACCGAGTGACAATGAACTGTACATTGACATGACTTTCGGAGCCGGTGGACATTCAAGAAAAATACTCGAGTCAGCAAATTGTCAACTTATTACACTTGATAGAGATCCAACTGCATATGAGAAAGCTAGGAAACTGGCTGAGGAATATCCAAAAAGGGTCATACCACTAATAGGAAGGTTTAGTGAATTGCCGGCGCAATTAAAATCTATAGGTATTAAACAGTCCTCTATAGATGGAATCTTATTTGACTTTGGATGTTCTTCAATGCAATTAGATAATGGAGAAAGAGGTTTCTCACTTAGTAAAAATGGTTTCCTAGATATGAGGATGGATGCAGGAAGAGATCCAAGCCAAATAACAGCAAGAGAAGTCCTGGCGACTGCCGATGAGCATGAACTATACAAAATATTCAAAATATATGGCGAAGAAAAGAAAGCGGCGAAAATAGCTCAAACAATCATACAAGCGAGATATATGATCAAAAGTATAGACACCACAAAAGAATTAGTTGAAATTGTTGACTCCTGCTGTCCAGATGAAGTGAGATTAGATAAATTACAACGACCACAATCCAATGCCACCAAAGTATTCCAAGCTCTGAGAATTTTTGTTAACAATGAATTAAATGAAATCAATTACGGCATGATTTTATCAAAATATTATTTAAAATTAAATGGGAGATTAGTCACTCTTTGCTTTCACTCTCTCGAAGATACTATTGTTAAACGCCATATACATGGTAACATCATTAATGAGACGGCAAACCCTGTACCTCTAAGATATCTAAGTCCCATGTTAGTACAAGATCAGGACACCATAAATCAATTCCTGGACTCTCCGTGGAAAGCCATTAATAAACATGTAGAAGTTCCTTCTGAAGATGAAGTAGACAGAAATCCTAGAAGTAGAAGTGCCAGATTAAGGGCCGCTATCAAAATTAAATGAAGTTTTATGTAGATAATTTTTAACAAGATTGTCATTAGTATACTGAAGTAGGATATAATTTTTAGACTGGAAATATAATATTTAAAACTGAATACTTGTTTTCATATTTTAGATACTCCATAATAATTAATATATTAAAAATAATACTGACAATTTTATTTTGAAAGATACTTTCTATTTGAATCTTGATATGATAGAAATTTGGTTTCGTGATATGGACATTTTCGCAATGCAATTAAAGAACTTTATCAACTTAAGAAAAAATATTATGTGTAAAACTTTCGGCAGAAAAGACCGCCAGGTTCGACCCTATTACAGATAGTGCACACATATCACATTTTCGAATTCTTCAAACACTAAGAATATTACTAACCTTTAAAACTTCAATAATTTGATAATGCTGTCTATAGATATATTTACAAACAAAAATTAATCTCAAATCACACCAAATCCTTCCACTAACGGCTAAGTTGCCTCCCTAAATTAAAAAATATATAATTTTTTGTTGATAACAAATCATAAATGAAACAACAGGATAAGATATATTACTTTATTGCATGTTCTTAAGCCAGCCATCTACTGCTAATTTAAACATGTTACAAGTTAATTTCCAACAGAGTAAAGGATTTTAACATTATCCGAATTTATATAATCTATATCTTAAGTTTAGGACAGTAAGTAATAAATAACAAAAAAAATGCAATATATTATAAACAACAATTGTTGTTATTGCATACTAAAATACTTTACAGTGAGTCCTAGTGTGTATAAATATTAGTATAAGCGAAAACAATCAAATATTCCTACATACTTAAAAAATGCACTAACTGTTCTTTCCCTATTGATTTAAAAATATATATTTATGCAATTTGAATTTAGAATTTTACAGTTATTTTTTTTTTTTATATTATCATAAAGAACTTTCTTTTATTCCGACCAGTATGTTATAACTTAAATCCGAACACACTTACTAGGTTATATAAAAAATATTAATTTTAAATAATATAATATTCATAATCATTATATATACAACAGACATTTATACTTTAGAATGTGAAGTTCAGTTCAAAAAATAAATTTCATTCAATTTCCCACGGTTGGAATGTGGTCAGTATCAAGTCAAAGATGCTCCAACAAATTGGCAGTGCATGAATATTACATATCATTCTACTATATATATAGATGCAATATTTATAGACGTTTGTATATAAATATATTTTTCTTTAATGACATAACATAATCATAGATTTTCTATCTTACATTTGTACTGTTCAATAGCAATTAACATGCCTTATATTATCAGCAAAGGTAACATTTTTTAAAATGTATGTAGTCTAATTATAGCAGAGTTGAATTGACAACACATTTCATATATTATTAAATATTTGACAGTTTAATATACTGTACAACTATTGTCTGTGGCTATTATCATTATGTACTTTAATGAAGGTTGTATAACCTTAATACATACATCTCTATCGCACATCTCTACCGATGCTGTCTTTCTGTTAGCTGGTGTGTACAGCTGGCAGTACATTCCTGGAACGTTCCTCCTTCAGAGTATACACGCTACTGTGACTTTGTCGTGGGTACATGCTGTTTAGAACATGATTGAATCCATTCACCTGCGGAATACAAGTTATATAAGAACTTTTAAAGTTAATCAAGTGTAAAAAAATAATCTTACTATATTGTAGGAAGTATTTAATTATATAGCTATTTTAGTATGGGACATTATGATATAATAGTAACATGTAGAATCCTTAGAACTTAATTAAAGTTAACTCTTTGTAATAGGATAATAATTGTTACCATCTGTGAGGCGTTCTTCTTGAATCTTTCGAGTCCAAAAGCCCTGATGGCTCTTGAGAATCCAAACACCTGTGAGTCGACCCAGGCTGAGCGACGAGCCACTGTTGTACCAGACACTCCCGGACGATACTCCACACGCTCCACGACACTCTGACATACATACACACATATATAGAAATTATTATAATCACACATATTATATATATACAACACTTTGACATACATTTACATAAAGAAATTATAATATATAAGTACATATAAATTGATAAGTTATTGTGACACATAGTAAACTTTGTAACCAATCTGTTTTTAACTATTTGAAATTGAAATTTCACTATTTGAAATGAAAAAACCACAAACATACATATGTATATCTGTATGACTTTGTAATAATGTTATGAAGGAAATATGTTTTGAACTCGCTCTAAAATATAAAAAGTGGATACATAATGAAAACTTGTTAACTGTTTGTTAAATACTAAAATGTTGACTCATGAAAGAAAGTGAGAAACTAATAAAAATGTGATACATAATTAATAGAGACAAAGAAAATTATTTAAATTACATAAAATATATGTCATTTTAGATGTATTGAATTTACCAATGTCAGTAATAGTCAAAGTATATTTACTAACCATGACCTTGGTGTATCCTAAGTTCCTAGTGTATGTTATTAGAATCTTCTTTTCGGGATCAACAATACTTTCTTCAATAATTTTCACAGATTTTGCATTGAAAAATCTGAAAAATTAAAATATTACAACATTATAAGACAAACACAAATATTCTAATGATGATTCAACGATTAATAAAGGGATTTTATAGCAGCTTGATTTTAATATGTTAAATATTATATATGTATGAAAAAATATATAAAATATTTTGAACTCAGAATACTTCAAGTCCTGAGATAAAAGATATCACAGATATAATTATAATATATATTTTCTTTTATCTCTTGTTTTATATATTGTGTCAACACACACATATATAAATTTTTTTTTCCCTGCCCCCACTGATCCCACTTTAAGTAGGTTCTTCTCTTCCACAGAACATGTTGTGAATAGTTTTGGCTAATTGTTTTTTACGACCGGCACCCTGCCTGACATCAACCCTCTTTAGGAATGCATTAATCAGTGATATCTAAATACTCTTAGAAAGTACATATGACTTGGAAAAATCACGTTGGTACTTGCCAGGGCCAGGAGCGAACCCGCGCCCTTATGGATGAGGGGCGGGCCTATTAATCACTAGGCCACCACTGACTGACATATAAATATATATAATATTAGCATTATTATAATTTGGATTTATAACATTATTAATTAATATAGTGAAAGGAAAATTAAAATTCTATTCTATTCTATTTAATTCTAATTAAAATTCTATAAATACACTCATAATTAAAATATGTAACGAAATTTGATAATAAATTTAACACACCATATTTTAACAGAAAAGAATTGAATGTTAATTTTGTTTGAAATCATATATATAATAGTATTTTATTCTAACCAGAAATTAGTCAAGAAAGTTATATCATCACACTTCCATTTAATTTCATTAAATTTGTCCGACAAAACCAATTATATGATCCAAAAATCAAGCAAAAATTCAAGACCTATAGTCAAATTCTATTAAAGATATTTTTATTCAAATAAACATGTTTGAAGACCTTCACCACACAAGCTGTATATTAATTCCACACATAAATTACAATCTCATTGTTATTTTTTAATCATCATGTTTGTTTACAAACACAAACTTGAAGGTCGCCTCACCTTGTAGACATGAGCTATTAAACCTTCAGTATGGTCCCATGAATACAAGTTAGCCTTGATTTATGCTACCTCTTACTTAGATTTAAATAGTAAGTTATATATGTATATATTTTATATATAGTTTATAATGTTAGTAGCGTAAAAGATGTTATTTCCATAAACAAATGGCCTTTACTTGGTATAACATTACCTTTCACCCCATTTAGGCACTCTATTAGTCTTAGTCAGCAGCCTCTTTGTGTACAAACATCCGTCCTTCACTTGCCGACTCCAAGTATCTTCTGATAGAACATGTGAACTGCAATAATCAATATTTTAACATGAAAATAGTTATTATCAGTTTCAAAGCTATGTCTATAATTGTTCTATGATTATTCACTATATTTTATACTTTCTTAGTAATTTAACAAAGAACATACATGTAGATATGTATGATAAAATGAAGTAAAACTTTTAGGATGAAAAAATAGAACAATAAATTTCCTAAACATTATGTTCGTTGATTTTTATTTTTTTTTTTCCTTACCTCTGGGGGTTTGGGTATCTCTTCCAGTAACCGCGAGCGACTTGATCCCAGCTGAAGTTGAATGTTGTCGTATTTTCAAAATATCTTGCCATTTTTATATTTTTAACTTTATATTGGAATGATTCTAAAGAAGCAATTCAAAACGTCATGATTCTATGTCGAACTGAACCTAAAAAAATATCGATACATAAACACACGTGAGTACCTATTACATAAAACGCTATGTAGGTCAAACAAATAACTTGGTTATCGTCAAAATACAGTACTTATAGTAAAACAGTGTAATAACCGTGGGGTCCGCGACCAAAGTCACGTACATGCGGTCCGAGATAGAAATAATACAAAGTACAAATAAGAACACATTTGAGTTCACCTTCGATACTAATTAATAACAATTGGTATGATGCACAAAAACATTCAAGCATTCATATACTAATCACAAAATGAATTTTGCTTCCTTATGTAAACAATTTTATTAAGATGGAAATTTTTATTTATTCCATAATCACCTTTGCCGGAATTCCGTGGAGCGTATATTTTGATAGACTTTGCAAGGACTTTCGTTAGAAAACCCCGTTCCGCTCCTTACTATTTATTTAAAAAATATATTGATCGATTTCTTCCAAGACCGCATCTTATCATTCATATTCCGGGCATTTTTGATAATGATCAGATAATTTATTTCATAGATAATTCCAGAGCCCACACTGAAAAATTTTATAATGTTTTGAAGTTATTCACTACAGATAAAAATATAAATACAGATATTGTACCTCAAGCACCTCAGTCACAAGAATAAACAAGTTTATGGTAGAGATGTCATAAACAAAATCTTGTGTAGAATATTGACTAAAATGTGTAAAATATATAAATATATTACAACCATTTAGATATAATATAATTTTAATAGTAAGTCATAATTTTATTAATTTCATAATACTGATTGGACTCCTTCGAATCGTTTTCATTCTATTTGATTCTTTACACATATTGGCACAAATAAAAGTCACAATTAAAGAAGCACATAATAATTAGCAAAACCAAAGATAACCTTTACATACACTCTTCAAATAATTTTGGATTTGAATTTAATATCAAGCGATGGATAAAATCAAACTATATAATGAATATTTATTCAAACTCAGAAGTTTGTCACTGCGTGAGCCGTATATAGAAGTTCATGATAACATAAACCCCATGTTAAAGCACTATATGAAACTCATTGATAATATAACATTTAAACCAGAATCATATCACACATATTACGGGGAGATCAAAAGAATTGTCAACAGTTTTACAAGACGTTGGACTGATGTTATGGATGAAGCTATTAAAATCACTGACAAATACATTTATTTCGTAAAAAGAGAAGACTTAGAACTGATGATAGTCAAAATGATCGAAATGGAGAAAGAAAAACAATATGCTTTCGTAAAACTATTTGCTAATAGCGAAGATCCAATTGAAAAGGAAAAAATTAACGAGATTCAGGAGCTATACAACGAATATATGAAGAAAGTTGAATTACTTACAGACAAAGTTAATAAGTTAGATAAACAAGAAAAAGTAGAGGAATTCGCTAAGGAACATTTACCACAATCATTGCAAAGAAAAAACGAGATATTCCGCTTCACATATGATTTCATAGCTCTTAAACTCGCTTTAGCGGTCAGTATATATTTAACAAACTTACTCATTTGTTGCATATTTTTAATTTACAAAAGATTATAGATAATGTATGCATATGTCTAGTTATTTTTATATTCGGCTGAAGACTGAAGAGTATACTTAAATATGCAGCAAGAAAGATTTGTATGTCCATAGATTGTAATAAAATAATAACTTACCATCAGGTTGATAGAATACGGATAAGTCTTGAAGAAATTATAAATAGACTACGAAATAACCTAACAGACATTGAAAATGTCGTTGAAGGCAGCGTTTCAGAGCTCTTAATGCAGCTTTATGAAAAAAATAAAGAAAATCTTATCTTGTCACGACAGGACGTTCGTTCATCTAAAGACCTCGCCGAAGTTAGTATTACCATTACTATTTCTATTTTAGTTTAATAAAAATTTTGATTTTTAAGCGAAAACAAGGAAGCTCGTAATTTGGTTGTGTGTTGCCTTAATGATTTTTTTAACATTTTTCCATCGGCTCTAAGGTAAAACGCGGAATGGACATCATAATAGATAAAATAGAAAATTCTAAACACATTCCGGAGAATCGGCTTAGTGAAGAATGTGAGCATTGGGAAAAACTTTTTCAAGAATTCAAACAAATTGAAAAAACTTTGCAAGAAATACAAAAAGAAGAAAATCATGTTAAGGAACAAATAATGTAAGTACTTATTATAGGAGATTTATTTTACACGTCCTAGAGAGAGAGAGAGTGATGTTGTAGTGATTATTTTATTATCTGTAGCACTTAAAGTAAAAATGCACTAGATTACGGAAATTGTCTTTAAGACTTATGACCAAAAATTGACACTTAAATCCTGGTAATGGCGCAATATCAAATTGATATTCCTTATCCCTATTGTTCCTTACATAAGCAAGTTAGAATTTGAAAATTCTATGTAAATATTTCATCATTATAAATTGATTGAATTAATTTAATTTAATTAGATTAAGGTGTTGTTGTTAAAAACTTTTTAGACAATGCTGTGAATACCTGTAATAGGTGTACAAACGAAGACCTACTTTTGGTTATATTTTTGTGTAAATGTTGCATATGTGTACTGTTGGTGTTCCTAAGTAAAATAAAAAAAAACTATCTTTATATATTTACGGGTTCACCTGACGTATAGAGTAAATTATATATTTGCTTATTTTTTTATAAAATACAAAAAATGTTAATATTTCATAATTAGTCATAAGTTGCATGATTATGCCGTAAGAGGGAGATAATAGGGAAACTTTTGAGGAAGTATGATCTTAGGGAGAAAAGTCGGTTCCAGTTAAGGGTTTTATAATTTTGTACATTATTTCAGGGCGTCTGATGATTCAGAGGATAAAAACGACAAAACGTGCGGAGAGTGTTGGACCCTGGAGGAAAAATTGGCGTACCTTAAAAAAGCGAAGCTGAAAGCAGCTAAAGCTTTGTTTACATTCTTTAGTGTTAGAGGTATAAAGTTGCTCATCATGAAATATTGTTACATAGTTTGTTATACCTACACTTATCTCTGGATATAGTTCCCTCTAAGAAGAGTATAACTACGCAAAACTAATTATAATTTATCAAGTTATCTCTTCATAATTTCAAGATAATGTACTTAAAATTTATGTGCAAACCTTTTTTTGACATAAATATCACAGAATATAGATTCTTTTAAACTCCGTGATTCGAGAATGTCTAACCAAAGAAAAATCTTTTTATTTCACCCTACTCATAACTCGATCAAAATAATTTTAAGTTCAAAAGAAGTTGGACCTTTCCTAGGATTAAATAATAATATGTTTAGAAGGGTTCATTTGGTTGCCGAAAATGTTGTATGGTTTAGGTGAAAACTACATTTACTATACTGATCAAATCGGAACCTACTACGTTGACGAGTACGGGCACCAAGTATACGTGTTCAACTACGGACTGAACGTGTACCACGTAGACTGTGACGGAAACTTCATAGATGTAAGGAAATACAGTTTACTAAGAGAAAAAAAAAATACTATATCTATATATAATTAGTATTCACGTATCTTGCAAGTATTCTTTTGTTTGAATATCAAATTTTAACGGAAAATTTAAAACCTGTCAATAATATTAGCATTATTTTTAACGAAATGTACGTAGATATACAGGGTGACTGGTGAATTACTATCGATACTTGAGGACGTGATATTTGACGATCATATATGACAAAATAAAAATTAATATAACATAAATATTAATAAACTTCTAAGTAAAGTTAGCCAAAAGTTATGTAATTAATTACGCATCGCGTGAACACCCTACAGATTAGGTATACACACACACACACGAGTGCGGCGGGTATCAGCACGCCACCGCACGCGTCCACACTTTGAACACTTGTAACGTGTCCACACTTTATTTATTTATACGGAAATTTGGTAAAAAATTAAGTACCTATTTTTTTACATAATTCGAATGAGAATCATGTACCGAGTATCCTCCTTAAATATTGATAGTAATTCACCAGTCACCCTGTATAACATAGGTAATATCAAATATGTATTGTTAACGTTATGTGTATATAGAGAAATATGTATAAAGTAGAAAAAAGAACAAGTTACTGAATATTTCATATATGTAAACAGTTTTATTAAGTCATAATTTTTGGCGCCCATTTTATAAGTACATATTTCCTCATTTATGTTTTGCTTTCATTCTATGAAGTAAATTACGACGGTCAAACTGAAAGTTCTTAGAAAATCAAAAACTGATTACATTAGCCAGTTATTAGTTTTATTATATCTTTTCAAAATATTGTCCATTCACGTTTATACACCGCTGCATGCGATGGAACCACTGGGAAAAGCACTTTGCCCACTCGTCCTTAGGGGTCTCTTCAATGGCATCGCGATACGCAGCCACCGCTTCTTCAGCATTCATTAACCGCTTTCCTTTAAGTTTTTCTTTAATTTTTGGAAATAAATAAAAATCACAAGGCGCGAGGTCGGGGCTATACGGCGGGTGACCCAGTAATTCAACGTTTGATGTCGCCAAATAGTCGATCGTTCGCTTGGCGGTGTGCGACGAGGTGTTGTCGTGGTGAAGGAGGATCCGACTGCGAGGTCGTTTCTCTCGAACTTTTTCCAAGACAAGTGGCAAAGAATTGGTAGTGTACCATTCTGCAGAAACTGTTTTTTGATCCTCCAACACAATTGTTGCGAAATGACCTATCCTTCCAAAGAACGAGGCCACCATTTTTTTTACCGCACTTCGATCTCTCTTCACTTTAGTTGGCAACTCCTCGAAAGGACACACCCACTGAGCAGATTGTCTTTGGGTTTCAGGATCATAACAGTAAACCCAGCTTTCGTCACCTCTTAGTATGTCGACCACAGCATTTGAGTCACCTCCATTAAATCTTTCAATCATTTTACGGCACCAATCCACACGATGGAGTTTTTGAGCCTCAGTCAAATTATGAGGTATCCACCGGGCGCAAAGCTTACTCACCGCTAAATGTTCGTGGAGGATTTTGTGCACTTGACTCTTACCGATGCCTAAGCTTGTCCGAATCTGCTGATAGGTCACTCTTATGTCAGTCTCTATCATACGCCGCACAACACAGATGTTATCTTCAGTCGTCGCCTTAGAAGGCCGTCCCTCACGTAAATCATCATTGAGATTACTGCGACCACGTTTAAACTCATTAAACCAGTTGTAAACAGTCGCACGAGATGGGGCCTCATCGTGAAAGACCAATCGTAGTCTATCATAACTTTCTTGACTTAAATGACATCTAAAGTCATAAAAAATCATTGCATGAAAATTTTCTCGTGTTAAATTCATGTTGACGTGACACAGACAATTTTCAATTTGCCGCCAAATCGTAAAACAAATGACAAATATATGAAATATATACTCAGTAATATTGGCAAAGAGTTCTATTTTCAAATTTTAGAATTATTTTTTTATTATATTGTTTATAAGTGGCCAGTTCTAAGAACTTTTAGTTTGTCCCTCGTACAAAATTCAAACCTTTCCATAGATTGACTTTAGTCTGTTTTGTAGACCATCATTTTGAAGAAATCTGCCATTTATTAATTTTATATTAAAGTGTCGATTCTCTTTATTTCTAAGCATCCAGATAAAAATAAGTATTATTACGACGAAAACGGTCGTTATATCATCGAAAACGGTGAGAAGCTGTACCAGTTGGCGCCCTGTACCAGCAAGTACGTGCTAGAAAACGATGTGTTCGTGAAACGTAGTAAAGACTGCGGACATTCAGAGATGAACGTGGAATGCCGCATGCAGATTAAGGATCAGACAGATGTCACTATACTACCTGACGTTACGCCCGTCGATATTAAAGGTGGGTTGGATACAAGGCTTTCAGAGTTCCGCAAACAAATCTATATCTTCTATCTTCTTCTTCTATATATATAAAAATGGATTGCTGTTCCTTAGTCTCGCTAAAACTTGAGAACGGCTGAACGGATTTATCTTATCTTAGTCTTAAAATGTTCATGGAGGTTCAGGGAAGGTTTAAAAGGTGAGAAAAATTGATTAATTTTCGGGAAAACCCTAAAAACAGCCCTTTTCTATTTCCCATACAAATGTTTTCTTTGACATTAGATTTGACAACTAACTAATATGTCAATCATTCTGTTCGATTGAAACAGGAAAAACCTGATTATTTATGGCCTCTAGGACGGAATAGAGTTCGCCCGGTCAGCTATACATATATTACTAATGATGAAATTAATGCGGACGAAGTCGCGGGCAAAAACTAGTTTAATACTAAAATATGAAATGCTACAGAAGTAAAAATAAATCTAACCGTTTCTTTGATATATTGAAAAATATAAGATTATTGAGAGTTAGGAGTATACTGCAGAAACAAATAATTTAGTTTTTTCGTATCCTGACGTGTTTTCAAATTGTCAATAATTTATTTATATAGACTTTCTTGGTTCATCTTTTATAATCAAATCATACTTTCAATAACTTTAGTATTTTTCGATGCTACACCAGGATTTAAAGTCTTCATTAACTACGTCAGTTTGGTTGATACGGCTCAAATCAAAAATATTAAGGCATATATTGTAGACTTTCATCGCTTTAGCAAAAATGTTTACCCTTTTTGTCAAGTCCATTACTACTAAAATACTAAAACCGAAGAATTAATCTTCGGTTTTAGTCGCCTACCACATGATGGACACCGTTGATTAAAACCTCATTTGTTCTTCTTCTACCTGGCAATTTCCCAGCTATAGCCAGGGTCTGCCTTACATGTTGTGAATAGTTTTTGGCTATTTGTTTTTACGACCGGCCGCCTGCCTGACATCAACCCTCTTTTGGGAATCAACATTAATCAGTGATGTCTAAATACTCTTAGAAAGTACATATGATTCGGAAAAATCACATTGGTACTTGCCCGGGCCAGGATGGGACCCGCGCCCTCGGCGACGAGAGGCCGAGAGACGGGCCCTTTAACCACTGAGCCACCACTGACTTTTATTAAATCCTCATTTGTTATTTGGATAATATCCAATGGATATGTTTACTTAACCTGTTTTTCATAATCATATCTAAAATGTATTCATTTTTCGTACTTTAAATAGTACTGGATTGCATTGAGCACCCAGTCGAAATTTTGGTAACTTTGTTGTGCAAGGTTATCATTTTAAGGACATTAAACTGTTTTGAACACTTCAGATATTTTTGACCCTCTTTTAACTGTTTTGGTAACCCATCCATATTTATCAATTGAATTAATATTTAAGAGCCTTTAATAAGTTAAAGAAACAATGTTATTCATTTCCTTCAATGGACGCATAGATCCATTAATTGTACATATCAGCATTTTTATGATTAGCAACTAGTTTTAAGAAAATAATAATGATTAGAATAAAATAGGTCAAAAAGTTAATACACAAAAGTTAGAGTAATAAAACACTACCTTATTTACCGCAGTCGGCCAAAATATAAGCATTGAATAATTCCAAGCATCAACGTCTGCAAAAGAATCAAAATAAAGTACTTTCAGCCTACTCAGATTTTTAATATTTATAACTATCGAGAAGTGTACAAGATGATTTAGTTTTTCAGGCACTCTGGATTCAGAAGTCATTAAATACATCTGGGACACATTCGGCCACATCTTACCTGAAGTGATGGAAGGAGTCGCAGAAATGAAACCGAAGAACCCCATCCATTGCCTTGCACATAAATTGGTGCAGTATAAGTTAGTTTTCATTTACAATTAGTATTGGACTGTTGACTATTTAGACTGAATGGAGGCGAATTTTCATTACAATATAAAGAGCCTTGTGTGTTGTGGCAACACTGTAATAACCGTTATTTAAGTTTTTAAAGTGTATTATTGAAAACTTTACGTATTAGATCAAGGTCGAAATTTTTAACTAGCAAGATGTTCCAATTCACAAACGTATCATATAAATAACATACTCAAATTTTTGTACCTGTAAATAATATAATTATCAATGTCGGAAATTTCTAAGAGATTTCGTATTCAGGTGTAAGAAAACTAGTGAAAAGGATAAGAAAGACGCCATTCTATATCACCAGAAGATATATGAAGACAGGCGCGAGGTAAGAACTTAAACGTCACTGTCAACTAATTTAAGTAATAATTTAAAATACTATACTAAAATTGCCGGCACATAACTTGGCAAAATCATTAATACATAGAGTTCAAAATATTACCTGTTTAAGTGTTTTCGTCTGGCTGCGAAGTAGTTGCGGCCGAGTGTGTAACGGCATCTATTCCTTTTTAAAATTTGTTATGGCTTAGATCTTTTTTTTTTAAAGAACTGAATGAAATTCTGTTTGAAATATTGATTAATTTAATTTACTGGAAACTTATGATGGCTGAGGTATTAGCATTGTGTTCTCCTATTTATAAACGTATATAAAAATGTATGTGTGATTTACTAAGTAATGAACGTAGTTATTTTATAGCAGGATCTCATACTATATGAGTAACAATAAATATGAATACAATTAACCCAATTCCCGAGCAAAGAATTATGTCGACACATTCATATATGACACCTAAAAATCGCATTTTACGCGTCTGTCGTTGCTTGCCAAGTTACTTGCCTTCAACTATACCTGCTTAATAAACCCAAAGTTTTCATTAAATTATTACTTCTTTGTTTCTATACTTCTTAAAAACATATGTAAATGATATTTTTTATGCTCATAGAAAGTGAACGCCTTGTATAAGTTGTGGCGCGACAAACAAATCCAAGTTAAGCCTGAGTGGGACAACGATGACGCTTTGAGAGCACATCGCGAGGCGGAGGAACTAGTGAGGGGACTCAACTATTACAACTAGCTTTTGTTTATATTTAACGCCTCTTAAATCACGATCCAGATATATACAGTGTGAACAGAATAAACATAATAAATGTCACACTGACAGATTACTTATATGTCTTTTTCGATAAACTAACTAGTCTTGACTAATTATTTTCTTGTCATAATTTCACTAGAATTATTACAGTTTGTAATTACACTACTATGATATAGTTTTTATTATGATTAAAATTTAAAGTATATATTTTGTTTCCTTTTATAGGTATATTTAGTTGACTATTTTTTCGCTAGCTGAAAGATATTCCTGTTTAGAGTAACATATAAAACTATCTATAAATAAAAAAGAATTAAGGTACGTACAGTTATTTATTTATTGTTCAAGCGTCTACTAGATATAATTAGACACACTTGTCGACTTTCGTGAGAAAGCAAAATCATAAAAAAAAACAGATTAACCTACTACTATCCACTTAAGATGGACATAAAAAAAATATATTTCAATTCCAAACCCACTGCCAGATAAAGTCGGTCTAATTCACAAATAGAAGAAAAAAAATATCTAAATATAAAGAAAACAAAACTGACAATATGTACCCGATGAATGTTTTAGTCAAAGGATATATCAATATGAAATTCATTAAGAACAATTTGAAAACATTAATTCCATACGAAACAGAAGAGGCCCATTCGATAAGCCCGTCCTCAGTGTTAGTACTAAAATGATTCCAATCCGCTTGTAATAAGATAGATAATTGTTTATTAAAGATCCTAATGTTCTGATAGAGCAGGTACAAAAGTTTTATCATACAGAAGTATACTACTTAGGCTATTACAACAATGTTTTTAATATCCCCACATAAATTATAAAAGAGACAAAGAAAAAAAATCAAATAAAACAAAACTCATATTCAGAAAGAAATTTACCCCTTTTTTTCAAATGAAAGCAAGTCCAAAAAAAATCTAAATAAATTACCATGTTTAAGTACAAAGCATTTTTTATGCAGGCAATGTCACTAAGTCGCTATTGTATAGTATTTAAGGAACAGGAACAATCCAAATAATTTTTAACTGACAATAAACCATAGACAATTTTGAATATTTTGAACACAAGTCGCTGACAACACTAGAGGGAAGTTCTTAAAACAAAGCTTTAGGTTAATGAGGTCCAGTATGCGGAGATACAATTATGTACAATAAGTGCCTTCAAATAAACACAACTGGCAACATTTAACATCAATTTCGACCATAGAGTACTTATATTAAAAGGTGCTGTACTTCAGGAGACTTTGTAAAGATTATTTATCAAGTTGCTTCTGCTGTATAGGAAAATTTAGTTTCGCCTCCCAGCTATTCCCACTATCTACTTGAAACAGAGCACAATACATATTATATATATATAATCTAATTTGAATGTCTACACATCCAGCGACATGTTTAGTCGATAGAACATAGAACGGTGAACTAATCTAAAAATTAAATGTAACGCCGCCAAAATAGAATATTGCATTGCTATACAATTCAAATATTTAAAACTATTATATTTGGCTAGATATATCGTCGGGAAAAATAAAAAGAATTTGTGCACAGATCCGAAGGATACGACACCGCTGTGGATGAATATTAACAACATTAGCATCGTTCAAAAAAAAAAAAAATTTTTTGTCTATGACCCACAGCAGATAAGGCTAGAGTATTTATTAAACATTAAAATTCATGAATGCTATCACCGGGCTGTACCATTGCCGTTTCAGCGTACCACAGAGCCGCCCGTCCGTCTACAGACGAGCATTCATGGTGTACGAGCGGGTTTTATACAAAGCAGTTTTAAAAACGAACGGCAATGGTCACAGACTAAGCGACACCACAGAGCCTTCGCCGCGCTCCACGCTCTTTGAGACGCGTTAATTTTATTTACAAAAAACAAGTTGTCATTACATCGAGCCGCGCGTGTCAGGCTCTGGGACAACACTAACCATTTTTTTTTATTTAGACCTCTCTTATTTTGTACAGTCACGGTGAATATAGGTTCAGCGTTCATTTAAAATATGTCCAATTACAAGTCGTCCCCGCACGCTTAAACCCGGCCGAGGCTTAAACCCGTGAACCCGAACGACGTTTTGTGCTACTACCGTCATCAATAGGATAAACTACGCTTGGTCCATAACAGATAAGGAATATAATATTCAAAAAATTTCGTTTCTCCATATTAAAAACATTAAAAGGATACATCGACTAATATTTCAAAGTTCATTGTATAGTTATAGGATATCAAGAATATAGATATGTTAGTCGCGGGTGGGGGGTGCGGGCGCCAGGTTCAAGCCCCTAGGTCCAGGTTCTAGTTGGCCCCGAACGTGTCCAACTCAGCCTGACAGTCGAAGGTCTCTGAACTGTCGATGTGTTCCGGGTAGAACTCCCTGTATATGTTGTCCAGGAGCGATTGTCTGAAATATAAATATACATTTGGTTACTTTACTTGTGTTTGTGTGACTACCTACAGTGGAGTAAAATGTGAATAAAGCACGTGTAGTATTGTGTTATTATAAACAAGACAGTAATATATAATTATTTGAGTTACATACAAATGAATGGATTCTAATGAAAAGCCACGTGACATACTATACATGACGCTGTTGTATTGTAACCATATCACTAAGGGCAATTTCAGTTCTTATACCAACTAAAGTCCAAGCGGACTACGTCAAACAGATATGATTATACACATATGAGTGCGAGTGTGCGTGTGTGTGTGTGTGTGTGTGTGTGTGTGTGTGTGTGTGTGTGTGTGTGTGTGTGTGTGTGTGTGTGTGTGTGTGTGTGTGTGTGTGTGTGTGCGTGTGTGTATGTGTGTGTACTCACTTGGCTGCGAGCCCCCCGCCGGGCGGTAGTCCCGGTATGTTCTCCTGCACCAGCTGCTTCAACACGTACGAGAAGCTGGAGCAAGTGTCTTCGTCCGAACCGGCGCTCTTCTCTATCAGAGCTGTAACAAACGACATATACATTGTATGAGGAATACTACATATGTAGTATGTCACTTACTACTAATAATATTATCCCTACTAATATTATAAATGCGAAAGTAACTCAGTCTATCTATTAAGCTTTCAAGTCTAAAACACTGAACTGATTTTAATGAAATTTGGTACAGAGATAGAGTTCACCTTTAGAAAGAACATAGGATAGTTTTTATCCCAGATTTTTGAAAGGTTCTCTTGGAAACGCGATATAACCGAATTCCACGTGGGCGAAGCTGCGGTTTGGAAAGCTAGTTATGTATAATAATTAATAAGTATAAATATCTTCTATGTTATTCATACTCTTCATGGATAATAATTTTAAGAAGTAACTGTTTGAAATTCAGTCATAAAAATAAAAAACATATATGTACAAATGCATGTGTTAGTCAATTAACTGTTTAAGGGAGATGAAACAATTCTTTCCATATAAATATGTACAATTTACAGTATGAAATATTGAGACAAAAAATTTTTAACGTCTCCAATTACGTATATACAAACAAAAACTATCGAAAAATTCCAGGTAATTCCAAAGCACTTGCAACCACTTAAATAAACCATGTATAACATGCATAAAATATCAAGTAATATTTAACACAATGAACAAATGCATGATTAAGGTGGCGAAAAAACGAGCGAAGGGCGAATGCATCAAACAGGGGATATTCCCCGGTTCCAGGGAACTACGGGGCGATTACAGTTAACGGGAATGGAAATACACATGACGTAATGAACAATTAAACTTAAACCGTCAAAACTTTCCTGACAGGTTAAATACATATTCAAAAAGTATTATGAGCTAACTAACGAATTCACTAGGAGTAGATTCGTCGTAGATTTGTACGCGGTAGAAGTAGGAGCGAGAGGTAGGCCAGTCCAGAACTAGCATCAATTCGTTCTTGGAACGTACTTCGAAGACAGCCCTAGTAGGTTCGTTTAAAATTTGGTTTGGTAGAGATGAGCTTGTACAGTGGAAGTGAATGTTTAACGCGCTTTAGATAGGGGCCCCTTAATCCTACACCTGGGTCGCAAGTCCCAGTCACTGTTGAAGCTCCTCTCCCTACAACGATGGACCCAGCACCCGTACGGTGTGTTAGCCTAATGTCAGCTTAGAGTAAGTCCTATAACAATGTGAACAGAACCGTTACTACACTTTCCGGTGTTTCATACAATTACCCACATTAATAAAGCTGCGAAGATTATTGAGTGAAAAACTGTTAACGCTCTTTTTTTAGTTTGTCTATTAAAAACTATGAGTAAACTAATCCGAAAAGTATAACATCTACAAAGTCCCTATAGCATCTATACTATATAATAAAAAATACTAACATTTAACCACACGAAAGAATTATTAATTATACTTATTATTATTAAAAAAGACATTTTTTATATTATATTTTATATCAAACTTGATTAACACTGCAACCGTTTACATATAACGGCTACGTATAAAGATCTTTAAGTTTCGCTTTCTTCCTCATTATATTCAACCGAAAGCAAAAGAAGTCTTTATATTCGTCGTTGAAAACTGGCGCGTGTCACGGAACGCTTACATATTTATAAAACATGCTATATTCCTTACCACATAAGATTCATTTTTGATATGTGCCGAGTTCTTTTCACCTTGACTTCAGCCTTTGGTAACGTTATAGTTATAATTAAGATATAAAACTTATGAAATTAAACTTAAATACTTTATAATACAAAATAAAATGAAAACACGTCATCCAATTTCCTTAAGATTTAAAAAAAAAACAAGAAATAATTTAAAAATAGAAAATCCTAGTATTTTCCCGCTCATACCATACACGTATCAAGTATTAATAGATTTAGTGCCAACATAAAAAAAAATCTCCGTCATTATGATGCCAATACGAAAATATATGAAACCTTAAAACCAATAATTATGGAGCCCTGAACCGCTTTAATAGTATAATATAAATCTACATGGGATCAATTTTCAATAGGATAGTCATACGTCACTCGTCACGCGTCAAGTACGGCTTCATTTGAAAAGAAAAACTTTCCGCCATCAGTCAATGTATTACAGACTACCGTAGTGCGTGAGCGTTCATTGCTTTAATCCTTTCATTATTAATATAAAGAAAAATCATTTAAAAAAACTATATAAAACAAGGGCTAGGACTAAAGCAATGAAACTATATATATAGATTCAAACAAGATTTAATAAATAACAATGTAAATATACTATTTATGTTAACAGGTATTAAATAAAAAATATTATAGAGATGACACAATATCACATATTGTTAACACAATGTCAATGTCATAATCTAAAGGATATTATGAAAGTGACATAAAGGTCATTATATGACTATTAAAATATAATTTTTTCTAATACAAATTACTGTGATATGTTACAAGATATATATAAACTAATTAAAGATCTCTACCTAATATATATGTATAATAAAAAATATATTTTCTAATACAATATTGCACCTTATGATATTAAATGTTAAAATTGTACATATTTTGTACTGTATCAGTATGTACTAAGTGCATATTAAATACTTGTCTTTTATTTATCTATCATGAATCATATTTATCATATGTAAATAATTATTCAAAATGTTATAATAAATAATTAAATATAAAATGTAAATATGTTTCATATGTATCATAAACTCTGAAAACATTTGTACTCTCAATGATATTTCAGATGTAATAAATTTCTATGAGAATTTATTCTAGTCAAAAATCTATATAACTAATTAATAAACTATGAAAAATATAAATGTATATCTGTATACAACACTAGGTAAATACTTTCTATTGATATTGATACTAAGAGATAAAAATGTGACCACTTCATTAATTTATCAATATTATCTTAAAAATAAATAATTAATATTAAAATGTTGTAAATGCATTATATGTTATTGTAAAGGGAATTGTATATTACAGGCACCGCTACTAAATTCTATGTTTGGAAGAAATATTGCTAGTTAAAACACACAAATATTATTGCTCCATAAATACTAGACATATCTAAGTGATAGTATTAAAGATTCAAAAATTATATAATGATAGAAAAACTATATTATTATTAAATTTGTAATATTTAATACCTACTATATGTTAAATGAAAGAAATTTTTAAGGAAATTATATTAGAACAGTTGTTATTAGTTGAACAGATGTCTCATACAATACACCTACACACTTTCAAGTTGCCCGCTCTCCCTACACTATTACAGCCCACAACCAATTAACATTTATTCAGAATGTTAAGCATTTGAAAAATAACAAAAAAATACATATATTCTTAATGACCATTACCGTCGTAGCATGTAGATGAATAAAGACAGTTGGTTTCATTCATTTAAATATAAAATTTTAACGGTTTTGATTCACAAATTGTATTATGCAACGAAAATATTATGTTTTGTGTTCTTTGTATAAGAATAACATATAATTTAATACTATTCTTACATTCATCGTACGATTAAACTTGTATGTATAGTCTTACCTGTATACCGTAGCACGCGATGACAATTCGATCAATCAAATATTAAACACGACTTTATAAGTCACGGTAACTTCGTATGGATACTATTTCGATAGATTATTCACCATTTTGATTTTCAAAAGCCATATAAACAAATTTTCTAACGGTATTCGTTGTTTTGACAATCTAGTGACGCTTTTAAATTTACAATTAAGTATGTACAACTAATCAATAAGATTTGTTGTTATGCATCACATCCGTTGGTTCATATGTTTTCATATGTTTTATGTTGGTTCATATGTATATATATTATAGAGGTACATGTAATTGGGAATGTAATAATATTTAAAACCTATAAAATGTAGCATAATATATTTTGTCTATGGCAAGATTGTACTTCGTTAATACTGAATGTCAAATCGTTTTTTCTTTTTTTTGTAAAAGATTTTTAAATGAGATTTATCGAATAAAACTATTTAAAATTATCGATATCAAAATCAGAATCAAGTAATTAATTAAATTACTCAACTGGTTTGAGCAAACCTCTTATAGATTAAAGATTTAGAATGCCCAAATTATTTTTAATATTATAGTACCGTATGTAATCAGATGTTTCTAAATATCCTTGAAAGATTGTGTATTCAAGTGAATTGATGAATTAAAGTCATTTGTCTATGTTTGGGACGTAAAAAAAAATATTTTGCGTATTACTTAAGACGGTCAAATTTAAATAATTTTTACCGCGATTCAATGCTCTTTGTGACGTCACACTTGTAAATGAATATTTTACTTCACAATAAAAAACATTATGAGATGCATATCAAATATTTTAAGAACTCCGCTTTATACTGACAGTTTATAAGAAAATTAAAGTTTTAACGACCTCAAGTCAGCGATTGTTGAAACTGATTGCAACTTATAACAACGTGTACTTTATATAATTTATAAATATACCAAGTTCATAATTAGAATAATTTAATAAATAAATTTTATATAATATTTTTTTCTCAACACGAACATATCCAGTATCAAGTGTATGAGAAAAACGTATTTATATTGTCATGCTCAATTATAATATTAAAATGTATAATTCTTACTACTTATATACAACTACGTATATAATTTCCTAAATCGTTAACATTTTGGCAAACATGGATTAAATATTATTAAAATTAATGTCAATAAATAAGTGCTTTCTTAACAAGTACACTTCATATGGCTTTTTCTATTAAAATATAACTATGTATAATAGATCAACTGAATAGGGATTATAAATAATGTTTGACAGTGTTGGTTAATTCAAATGGCCCCTAAGATCCCTTGTTTAGTTCTATATCCCACAATGTTATCCTTCAGTCGTCTCATGCCCTAACATTGTTCTGATCTAAGTTATTTTCTGGTAGCGAGTCAGTCTGTCTGTCTGTCTGCTCATCGGAGCCCTGTGTCCGAGGCGAGTGCGCGCACGCATGCAGTAAAGAGTAATAGCAACCTGTGAGCCGTTGTCGCAGTGTGTCATCTAGCTCTCGGTCTGCACGTTGGGCCTCCGGGCTGGGCTTGGGAGCGGCCGGGAACACAACCAGCACAATGCTCATGTTGTCCTTACTGCCCTGGAAGTGTTATGGAATGTCAATTGTTATTGTTAGTCTGGGAACCTATATAAATAGGAAAATAAGCCTATACAAGTATAAATTACTGCAAAACCATGAACCTATAATTAATTGGAGTCTAATTGTAAACTTGATTTAAATATCATCCCATACTGAATATATTTGTTAGATGATCCAAAAATAAACAAATTTCCTCCCAATTACAACACTTAATATAAAATTGTTTTCCCTGTCTGTTCTGATCCTAGCCAAATAGACAATTTCTATATAGGATGATGAAATAGTTATTGAATATTCCTATAGTCAATAAATAGCAATAATGATTGCAAGCGAGAACTTGGTTGATTGGAAACTCATAACATAAGCTGTATCGAGTGTTGTGACACTATCAAAGACATCCCGACATATTCAATACATTACATTGTGAGTTGTCTATGTAGGAACAATGTAGCGTTCCCATTTTATATCAATACTTCATCCTCTGATATATAAGAGAAACAATTTTCTTACACACATTCCATGAGTCATGTCTTTCTTGACCACTTATTAAGACTGGTTTTAACTTCAATATAAACGTTTAGTTCACAATGAAATGTAATTTTCTGTATGAAGAATAAATATTGATGATTTGTATGAATATTTTCCTCATGCAATATTTTATTATATTTACAAAACTATTTTGTCAGTTTCACTATGAAGTAGTTTTTTTTATGAAATTATCATTACATTGTGTTAAGATTACTTACTCATGAAAGGTTTAAAATGCCCTATAGGTTGCCTATTATGTAGTCTTTCTTTTATTTACATATCTATCTACCATTTTTTCCATTATAATATAATATGTAGTGTTTGAGTGACACAAATAAATAATTTCCTTAAAAATAACCCATTATTTTGATCATTAAAATCTTTAAATGTGCAGAAAAGGCTGGTTGAGTAATTATTTTCTATTTAATTGGACAAAAGCATATGATATAGTTGATATGAGAACAAAAAGACCAGTTCGTGCTGGCTGATGTATAACAAGTTACATATAAGGAAATACAACATCATCACATTGTTATAACTTGACCCTGTGTTATTTTAATTATAACATTTATAGGCCACTTAAATTTTGATAGTTTTAATTATTATATATAACTTGTGGTTTGGGTAATTCGCTATTTGTAGGAACTTACTGAAACTTCATATGTATTCAATTATGCTAAAATGAAATTGATGTTACGATAATGAATCTCTTGGTATCATATTGAGAAGTCAATCCTACCTTATAAAGACAAGTGTCAATGACTTGGTTGGTGATAGCAACAAGGTCGTCGGTCAGCAGCAGTAGTGAGTGTATGTAGGCACACAATGCCTCATTGCTCATAACATCCCATACTCCGTCACAGGCCAGCACGAGGAACTCGTCTTCAACGTCCAGACGCTCGTGAACAGACACCTCTGGCTCCGGAGACACCAGTTGCTCGCAGGGCCCGAGGTCCATAACCTTCTTGTACTCATAATCTCCTAGAGCTCGCGACACCGCCAAGCTACCGTTGACACGATGTATCATGACCGAACCTCCCGCCTGCACGATGCGAGACTTCTCAGACGGCAGCTCTGGTTTATGATCCCGAGTCGCAAATATCGGAGCACCGTTCCGTGCCAAAACCGCGCGCGAATCGCCACAATTTGCTATGTATATCTGCTTTGGTGAGACAAAAGCGCATACCGCCGTCGAACCTGACTTCTCCTCGCCATTAGAAAGTTCCGGCAACTCTCGCATTTTCTTGTCGAGGTCCAGGAAACCAGTACGGATCGCCTCCGCTATATCGTCTCTCCGAAATTCTTCGGTCTGCAAGATACATTCCAGCAAATTTTCAGCACAGTGTGCTGACACCTTGGCCCCCGCGTGGCCATCAAATACGCCGAAATATGACCAGTCCGATAATGTACCGTTTAAAGTGAGCTGCGCATGATGAGCATCCTCCATCTCCATGCGCCAGCCCTGCATCGACGCCACGCCATAGCGTAGTCCGTTACCTTCGCCACTCTCGTTGTACTTCTTAGTTTCGGGCTTGTTTAAAAAGGCCCCCATGCTGAGTCCCTCTGTACTATTTTGTTATTCGCACATAGTTTCCACACCATCAGGCACTCGAGTCAAAGTCGCGGCCGATAAAGTTAAAGACCAGGAAGAGCATCACTGGACTTAAGATATGATCTCGTCCCACAGGTGAACTACAAATCTGTTACACTCAACTGAACAATTAACTAAAACGTTCTGATGATCCCGATAGATGATTATGCAGCTTATTCTGCTTCTACGTAATTGGTTTTAGGCTATGATGTTGCGTCGAACTCGGTGACAAATCGTGCTCCCTACGAAATCGTAAAACGAAAAAGCAACTCAAAAGAATGAATGGCGGACATAAATAGTATTTGTCTATGACTAATTCATAGTGACTATATTTGTAAAAGCTAGGCTAGTAAAACTACAAGACCCTTTTTTTATTAAATTTTTTTCGATATTTTAATTTAGAAGTTTTTAGAGTATAACTAATAAATTAATATCGCTCTTGTGTTTATATTTTTTAGTTGCTTTAGTGTCGTAATACAGCGATGGTGTTTTTTTTATCGAATTCGAAAAAAATTCATATTCGGAGTAAAACTTGCAGATATATTTATCTTATGTATTTTTGAAGATCAATTCGGAATTATATTAATATAACATTTTACGTTTGAAAAATATTTTTCAGTGCGTTTACGAGAAAGTTCTATTATAATCTCGTATATATTATATTTTCGTCCTATTTCATAATTTCTAAGCTTAAATTATAAATCTTAAGAAAATTAGTCTAATTTTAAAACTATTTACATTATGTATATTTTTTACATTGTACCAACAGTAATATATACCCATCCATAGATAGAAGTATAACCAACCTATGTTCAATTTTTATTATATAAATGTGACTTTGACGTTATAAAAATTAAAAGACAGGACTTCAGATTTCAGAGGTGCTAAATCTCGATAGAGGTTAGGCAGTATTATGAATGTGAATTGTGATATATTTATATGAAAACGACGTTAATATTACATATATAACATAACCTTATATCTAATACCGAAATGTATATACGTTAATTTTGTTACATACATACATTACAGTCAATTTTCAGTTACCATGTACAGAAGTGTTTTGTTTAGCAGGTATGTTATTACATAAAATGACTTAGGTTTAGACGATTTATCCACTTAATTTTTTTTGTAAAGTTAAGAAAAATATATATAAAAATTAAGTTGTATTTTGATTAGTGAAATGAAGCAAATAAATAATATTTAAAAAATGTTCTTGCTCTATTTTACCATTATGTATTTTCAGGTTGTTTGTAAGACAATATAAAAATGACTTAAAACAAATATTAGAATCAAGGAAATGCTTTTCAAACGACTTTTATACCAAAAATAACTTTATAAGACAAATATCTACATCATGCATAACATTGAAGAAAAGAAAATCAATTGAGGAGAGGGTATGTTATGTTATAATATTATATGCTTGCTTATGGTGAATTTCTGTTAACCTTTAGTATAAAAATTTACAATTCAATATTTCACATACTAAAATTTCTATGTTGTCACATTATTTGCGTGCAATATTAATGGCAATTAACTTTAAAATTGTAGCATATAGAAAACCAAGGCAGAAGGGTCATCAGGTATTCTCCTAAGGCTGGTTCGGAAGTGGTTGGGATATGGAAGAACATGACTGTCAAGGAGATATCTGAAGTACTTCAGAAGGATGTTGGTGAGAAAAAAGATAATTTTTTATATAAATATCAATATTAACATTAATTATGTCCTGCGAAAAATATGTAGACAGTGGTGGAATTGTTACTTATTTTACTGTAGCTACTCTACATAAAGGAAACATTTTTGAGCTTATAGGATATCATAGAAATAAAATGATTAAAAAAACCCATAGTTATTCAAAGGACTTAGTTTCACTTAAATGTATACATGCAAATTATAAGATATAATTGTAGTGTGTATTAGTTTTTAGTATATCATGTTAGGCTTCTTAAAGGAATGAATAATATTTACTTTCGGAAAATGATTTGGTAATTTTAACATTTGGCAGCGCCATCTGTTGCATAGATCACAGAACTTTATAGAATGCTTTCGTTGGAGCTTAATAATAGACTGGAAAAAAGTGTGCTTTATATTTAATTCCATTATACTATATTATAGAAATTTCATTGAAATCCATGATTAAGTTTTTGAATGAAAAACAAATACAAATCCTACTTGTATATTCATACTTTAGCATTTATAATATTAGTAAACATATAAATTTTTATAATTCATGTTATATGTTACAACTTAATAGATTTATTTTTTTTTTTTCAGAACACGTTTACAATGCATTGCAGTTTGCAGACAAGAACTCTGAAGTTGTTTATAAGGAGGACACTGTGATAACCAATCCACAAATAGTCAGGGATGTGGTGAAGATATCTGGATATAGATTTAAAATAGTTCCTCGACCTGATGAAGAGAATGATGAGGAAATTGTAAGATTCAGTTATTAAATACTCATTAATTTGGTTTAGAGAGGAGCTTGAATGGTGGAGGTGACGTGATTTTGAGAAGTGTTGTCTCTTGATAATGAATTATTAGCCTATCAGAGCCCACTGCTGAGCAAAGGTCTCTTCTCACATTGAAAAGGTTTGAGCATTAATCACCACACTTGCTTAAGACATGTTGGTGATTTCAAACTTATAATTTTAAATTATAAGTCCAGGTTTCCTCATGATGTTTTCCTTCACCATTCGTCACTGCTGTCTAAACACTCTTATAAACATATGACTTGGAAAAATAACACTGGTACTTTACAGGTTCCGAACCTGTTACCTCATGCACGAGAGGCGGGCCTTTGATCTCTAGGCCACTACGAGTTATTATAATTGTATTTATTTATTTACCTCTTTTTTGTACACCACAATTATAATACAATCAATTACAAAAAATACAAACTAAAAACTAATGGTGAAACAAAAGGCGGCCCTATGGCTTATTAGCCATTTCATCCAGACTACCTAGGGTTAGAGGATTGCAGTATAGGGTGGTGTTATATTAAATATAATGTAATTTTTTGTTATTCCAGGACAAAGATGCGTATCCCGCCCCCCCTGCCCCGGCCGAAGCCCTAAAACCTCGCCCGCCTGTAGTGTGTGTCATGGGTCATGTAGATCATGGGAAAACCACACTACTAGACTCTCTTAGAGATACCTCAGTAGTCGATTCAGAGTTTGGAGGCATCACACAACATATCGGTGCATTTGAAGGTGATTTTAATTTTTATTTCTATTAATATTAATCACAGAAATTATTATTTTGTTAGCTTAAATGTTAGTTAGTATTAAGGTAAATAATGTTTCTTGGAATATATTTTAAAAATATATATTTATTTGGAAGTGGTTATTCTACAATATATTACCTAAAGTGCGTCAAAATACATATATGGTGACTTGATAGTTGATAGTGATATATTTGTTTCTATAATTTGTTTCTAAACTTTTCATTTTTTTTAGTTTAGACTTGTTAAATAGTTTTCGATGAATTATTTTATTTCATTTTTTTGTAAATATTAGTTTTAGTTTTTTTATTTTTATTTCTTAAAATTTGTTTTAGAGTTCAATACTGTATAAGTGTGTGTTGTGTTCTCCTATAATTGGAGGTACATTTAAAATGTCTAAACTTGTATTTTTTGTATTACATATGTGTGTTTTGGAGTTCGAAATTAATTAAATATTATAACAAAGTATTCCAGTTACTTGACTAAGTTTTCCAGTTAGTCTAAGTTTTCATTATCCATGTTTCAGTGAAGCTGTCTTCGGGTGATAAGGTAACATTCCTGGACACTCCGGGTCACGCGGCCTTCACAGCCATGAGGTCCCGCGGCGCGAGGGGCGCGGATATAGTGGTGTTAGTAGTAGCAGGGGATGATGGTGTTATGGAACAGACCGTGGAGAGTGTTAGAATGGCCAGGGAGGCCGACGGTGAGATTCATTATTTATTTATGAGAAAACGTATAGCTTAAATTACAACTAGCTTTCCGCCCGCACCTTCGCCCCCGTGAAGTTCGGTTATATCGCGTTTCCAAGAGAACTTTTCAAAAGTCTGGGATAAAAACTATCCTATGTTCTTTCTCAAGGTCAACTCTATCTCTGTCCCAAATTTCATTAAAATCAGTTCAGTGGTTTAGGCGTGAAAGCGTAACAGATAGATAGACAGAGTTACTTTCGCATTTGTAATATTAGTAGGGATAAATTATGTCGGTAGGGTAAAAAAAAAATCCAGAACAGTTTAAACAGTTATTTTGACAATTCATCGGGGATAGTGCAAATCCGTGTAACTAGAATTGAATAATACTGCGTATCTGCTATTAAAGCAGATTGACAGAAGAAGTTAAAAACTAAATTATTTTCTGAATTTAATGACGTTTTAGGTATTTTTTTTTGTTTAATTTATTACTAACTCTGAAAAAATTACCGTAAAAGTCGTTAATTTAGAAAATATTTCAGCTTAAACCATCTGTCAATCTGTTTCGAATGTAAATACGAAGAATTATCCAATGCCCGTTATTCGAAATGCACTATCTCCGACGAATTGTATTGTATTGAGTGTACATTAGATATAATAATAATAAAACAAAAAATATAGCGAGAGCATTAATATAGCAAGGAATAAGCATCAAACATACAATTTATTACAATTATCATTTATAACAATATAGATAACAAAACATGATGAAGAGAAAATTTTCCTGTGTAGTTACCATACTTAATGTAATATTATCTTTAATGAAACTAATATTTTTTGGATTACTAGGAGTATTTTATTTTAAAAACTATACTAAAAAAGTAGTAATCCAAAAAATATTACTTATAAATGAATACTAACGATTATTCTCATCTCGTTTCAGTGCCAATCTTGGTGGCGATCAATAAGATGGACAAGCCGGGTGTTAACATTGTAGGTATGCCTCTATTTAATACACGTATTTGTCGCCATATATTTTTCTTCTTCTATTTAATTTTAATTGATATTCTATGGGTAGTTCTAAATTGTTGTTTTTCTAGGAGAAAACTCTGCAGTCGCTGGCTCAGCACGGTATAGTGTGTGAGGCGCTAGGTGGAGATGTTCAGGCTATACCGATATCTGCGTTGAAGAAACAGAATTTGGATACATTAGTTGAGGCGCTCATACTACAGGCACAGCTTATGGAACTAAAGGCGGACCCCGGGGGGGCGGTGGAGGGGGTCGTTATTGAAGCTCTAGTGGACCCACGGACTGGGTGAGATTACTAACAAACTTACAGTAGAGTAGTACACTTCATAAGTCAGTGATGGTTAAAAGGCCCACCTCTCTGCAAAAGGGCGCGGGTTCGATCCTGGCCGGCAAGTACCGATGTGATTTTTCCGAGTCATATATTCTTTCAAAGCGTATTAAGACATCACTGATTAATGCATTTCCAAAATAGGGTTGATGTCAGGCAGGCGGCCGGTCGTAAAAACAATTAGCCAAAACTATTCACAACACGTAAGGCAGACCCTGGCTAAAGCTGGGAAAATTGCCAGGTAGAAGAAGAGTAGTACATAATATATTCTTAAAACTAAAGTTAAGTAAGAAGAATTTAACATGACTGAGGACAATTCTGTTTAAAGAGTTTAGACTTTGTATTTCATTTCATCATACAGTTTAAGTCTAACAACTTGATTTAAAAACATTATAAATTAGCCATAGTATATCAATTAGTTACAACAATTCCATTAACACCGGGAACAAAGAGTTTTAGTCCATTTAATGAAGTATGTATGTAAATATATAGAATTCTTTGTTACAGTAAGCAAGCGACTGTGTTGGTACAACGAGGGTCGCTGAGGAAAGGAGCCGTGCTAGTTGCGGGGCAGGGATGGGCGAAGGTGAGGGAGTGAATATATGAATAAGTTTAAACGAATCTAATAATATTGAAATTAAATGAAGGTTATTGACCTTCTTATAATACTGGAATTAAAAGAAGATGACCTTAGTGAATTAAGATAACCTTAAATTTGTTTCCAATTAGAAGTGTGATGTCTCCATCACCTATAGCATTATTTCTAAGTTTTCCTTCATAAAACTTCACACATAATTGATTGATGTAGGTTAATTTTTAAAACCTCTAAATCCTAGTTGAGTGCTGTGTAGTTAATGTTTAAACTAAATAACACTAATGTTCTTGTATTATATTATATTGTAGGTCCGTCTCCTCCAGTCGTCTGAAGGCCTGCCCACAGACGTCGCGCCGCCCTCGACCCCCGTCCGTGTGCTCGGCTGGAGGGAGATGCCCTCCGCCGGGGACTACGTCATTGAGGTCGACTCAGAGGTATTATGCTTACATTCATATATCGTCAAGGATAATGCAAATCTAATTCCGAATATCTGCATTGGAAACCGATTATAAGAAGTTTGAGCTGAAATATTTTCTATATTAAAAACTTTTAAGGTATTTTTTTCACAATTAGTAATAAATTGAACAATAAATAATTATTAATTGTGAAAAACTTACTTTAAACTCGTTAATATAGAAAATATTTCAGCTATAACTTAGCTATCGTGTTAGAGGTTTTATATTATACATTTCTTTATCAAGGACGTCACAAAATATACAAAAAATACGTATTTAACGTAAAAGTTTCCATTATCGTGCTTCTACTAGTCTATGGATATCCAAGCTACTTGCTAGATTGTAATGCAGAGCTAAGTCAAATATATATTTTACTAATGATAAAATCGAAAACATATCTTTGCTATCTTATTGTTCCTTAATAATATCTTTCCTTTCCACACATAATCTTAATAAAAATAGATCTCTTTTAGTACATAATTTAGTGTCTTTATAATAACTTTCCCTTTCATACAAATCTTCAATAGAAAAGAGCCAACGAGGTTATGAAGTGGCGCAGCAACCAACGTATGAAGGAAAAGCAAGCCGAGGACAGTGAGGCGATATCAATTAAGGAGAGCACCCACCGCGAACAGTACCGGAGACAACTAGCGGCGAAGAGGGCGGCCGGCAGAATGAGGAGCAGGCAGGAGGGACCGAGACAGAAGATGATACAGGAGGGAGGGGAGCCTGCCATACACGTGCTAGTTAAAGGTAATAAACAGCATCGGTAACGGCTCAGCAATTAATCCATCAGTGGTGTTGTCGAGTGGTGTTGTCGATCACCAGTGGTGTTGTTGGACAGGAACAGGATCGGAACAAAGATGATTTCTTATGAGGGAAATTGAATGATGTATCGAAAAAAAAATTGAAGAATTGCAGTTTTTTTTTTCAAATTTTTGACCAACTTTTATATTTATTGTTGTAAACATGGGTATGAATCTAGCGCGTACTGGAACGAATCGGCTTGTTTTTCCGAACTTGGGGAAATCCCTCCCCCCCTCGTTAAATTTGGGACATAAGGACGGGTTCCGTCCAGGTGTGTGTGTGTTTGTCTATATGTATGTATGTGTGTTTGTTCCAGGTGACGTGGACGGGTCTGTGGAGGCTCTGCTGGACATTCTAGAAACGTACGACGACAGTCGCGTGAAGTTGGAACTCGTGCACTACGGGGTGGGGCAAGTGACGCCCGGAGATATAGAGGTATGTTATAATATGAAGAAAATAAATACAGATATATCTACCTGAACTACAATACATTATTTTCCTGGCCTTTTTTATGCTATTATTATGTTTTTGTTGTCCGTGTTTTAGCTAGTGGGTTCAAAAAATGTATGTACAGTAACCAATAGCGACATCTATCGTCCGTATGACATATTTTTTGACTACATATTACATACAAGTTAGAAATCCTGTGAGTTCCCGCGGGAACTACGCGAACTGATGGAACTATAATCTCTGTTATCCTAAAATCTAATTTGAATTATCGGAGATGCTTATCAAAATCTGTTCACTATATTTAATATACAAGAACAAAACTTATATCGCACAGATTTTACCGTTAATTTTATTATAAGTATGACTCAATGAAGTGTTTAATCTTCTTCCTGGCAAACCTCGCAGCTGTAGCCAGGGTCTGCTTTAATGAAGTGTTTAATATGCCCTCTAATTGTAATTTTGTCTGATATGTTCAAATATGTTTTTCCAGATAGCCCAGGCGTTCGACGCTGTAATATACGCGTTCAACGTGGAGGTGCCGCCACCTATCGCCGTTGAAGCCAAGAACAATAACATAAAGATAAAGAGACACAACGTTATATACAAACTAGTGGACGACATCAAGAGCGAGGTCAGCGCCCGGATACCCACCACGCTCACCGAGGAAGTCGTGGGTTAGATACTTATATTAAATTATTGCATTTGTTCCCAAACTTATGTTTAGTCTAAAAAAATTCTCGAAGTGAGCTCTAGACTCTACTGCCAAATTTGAGATTTTTTTTTGAAGTCCCCCATTCTTTCTCCTACTGAAAAACCATAAAACATGTATATAGCTAAATGAAATTACAAATAACTCTCCAACTTTTTACCCAACACCCCAATTTTTTTCTGCATCTGTTTTCCGTCTCCTAAAGGCCTGCAGCGCTCGCAAGGGAGCGTTATAACCCACTCTAGAAAAGGTTAGGTTATATGATTTATTTAACTCAAAGTATGGTTTAATTGTTCATGGTTATTGATACGTTTGTGGAATTTTAACTTTTTAGTTATGAGCAAAGATGTGTTCGTTTATATTAACAGCTATGAAAGTCACTATTAGAATCAGTTTGTACTTAGGACTTAAGCATTTGCTTTATACTCCTTAGTATTTAACCATATAATAGTGCTGAAGTGACTTCAATATTAACCAAATAGCAGTGGCGTGCACAGCATAGATGCAAATAAGCTCTGCATACCCTACCCATATAACAATTAAACCTATATTGTTTAATTCTTACTTAATACTTTTAATCATTCATTACGAAATACTATTGGTAACAAACATTTAAAATGTCATTTGAATCACGATTTATTAATAAGTGACATCTATCAATGTATAAACGAAACATTTTCGATCGGCCGCTCCTAACTGCTAGCGCCGCTATGCAGCCACAGCGGCGGTATGCACAACCACTCAAGGACAATCTACAAATCTCGTGTATGTATGCAGGAAATGTTTGTATGTTTTGTATTATATTTAAAATGTCGTAGAAAGTCCTTTAATTGTCAAATGAAACGGGGCTCTCTAATTGGTCGGTAAACTGTACATATATTTTTTTCGAAATTTCATTATTATTGAATATTGTTATTTGTCTTTCTAAGCGCAAGTGAATAAATATTGTTTTAATAAATAAACAGTGGATTAATTTATTAACGAATTATGGAAAACTATAGTTGTAAACTCTGTGCTTGTGATGTGTGATTATTGAAATTGGTTACGATTTTCAATATTGTCGTTTGATAATAAAATTAAAATAATTTTAAAGTGTAAGGTGTGTGACCAGTTGAGATTGAACTAAAAGAAAAGTATTGTTATTCGTTTTAATAAAAAGTATTATGATAGTTTTAATTACTAAGCAGGTTGTGTACACACAAATAAGTTATTTTGATGGCCTTGTTTGTTGTTTTCAAATGATAATAATAAGAATGTTTGAATCTCTACTGGATATTCCTATTTAAATAACTAGTATAAAACTGTGATAAACAGATCGTAATCGTTTTAAGGTAGTTTCGTGGCTCAAAGGCAGTTGAGAGATTCATAAAGTATTTAGATGTTCGTTCTGATCGGACTGCTGTAACATTATGCTCGAATATTATCAATGTTTAAATGAAATTAATATTTGCTGATTACTTCGCGTATTTTATTATGTTAAAAACTACATATTCCCGACGTTTCGATTACTTGGCAGCAACCGTGATCACGGCAGACATCTTGTCTGCCCGTTTAAAAATAATAAAAATATTAGTTTCATATAAAATTTAAATCAATACTTGCGAAAGCTATCATTATTTTCAATGTTTTAGAGGCGGAAATGATCAAAATTGTTATTTTATTTTTCAAACATATTCTGCTTACCCTACCTCAAATAACTGTGCACGCCACTGCCAAATAAAATGTTAAAAAAACATATGTAAAAGAATTATTCAGAATTTATACTCTCTGCTTGTATTTGTGTAACTGAAATACTTCATCCTACTAATATTATAATTGCGAAAATTTGTGAGTGTGTGTGTATGTTACTTCTTCACTCTCAAACGGGTGAACCGATTTTAATAAAATTTTGTATACAGGAAGCTGAAATAACACATAGGCTACTTTACATCCCGGAAATCCGCGGGTAACACCGCGGGGCGCAGCTAGTATTTATTTATAAACAACTACATCGATTTTAATCTTAATTTAAATAACAATCAATCTAGCTATATATTATATTATATGTTAATAAAGTATTAGTATACATTATATATCCAGGTGTTATGTTGCAGGTGAAGCGAATGTTTTGCAGCAGTTCCTAGTGGGTGACGGTCGTCGGAAGGTGCCGGTGGCCGGGTGCCGCTGTGTGAGAGGAGTGCTGCAGCGATCGGCGCTATACAGACTTATAAGGGGACAGGAGATAGTTTATGAGGGTAGGATGCTGACATTATGACGTCATTACAATCTTATTTATCACGGACCTCGTGTTTAAGACAAGTTTGCTTAGACCCAGTTTCATCAATCAATATTAAATAAGTAACATCGTAATAAGGCGTTTGATGCTCTGTTAGATGTATCGAGTGTCCCAGCACTCACAAATGTCCGTTTAAATGTCTTAACCAGCCACTAATATTAATTCCTGCTCTAGAGCTCCGTCTAATGGCTAACAGAATGTTAATGGCATTGTCGAAACTCAATTTTCCAATCACAGCCCTGTTTTCTTGTAACCATAGTAACGTCATCTGTTTTGTCAGTTTCGACTATTTCCTTGTTATTATAAATAAAGTGAATTAAAATTTCATTTAGTATGATGATTTTGCCTCCAGCTTTTCTATGACATTGCAAATTAAGTTTTCTTTTTATTTCTTATAATTTGAACACAATTTATGTCTTTATTTATAACACAATAATATATAACACAATTTATTGACAACAGGATTTTGACAAGTAACGCCTAGTAAATTGAAAAGAAAGCTTTTGTGTCCTAAATGTATGCAACCAACGATATATAAAATTTGATCGCATTAGCTTACAAGTGACGTATCGAGGGATATATACGATCAAAGTATAAAGTGGTGCATCGTGGCAAAGGTGCCGTGTTAAACGCTATAGTTTCTACTTGGTCGTCTTATAATAAGAACAAATAATTTGGTAGTCGGTCATTTGACATGACGTTTAATAATGCGTTGTTAATTTGTCATCGTGGGACGTAAATATTTTGAGGTGGTAATCTCGATCGTAAACCTACTTTACAAACAACCAATTTTTAACACACATTTATAATTTTGTAGGTTGGTTAGTAAATGCTGTGATTAGATTAAACAAACATTGATTAAAGGTGAAACTGGGTCTTAACATAGTATAATTGAATTTTTAATTTCTCATTCATTATGTTGCGAATGTTAAACTATTAACACTGTGTATTGTGGATTCTATAGTATCATGTGGTAAACTAATTGAGATTTGATCATTTTTCACTTAAGTAATACGTTCCATTGAAAATTTTTGATATAATAATTACAAATATGAAATAAATTTCTTATGTATGGCTTCTGTAATGTTAAAAACAATATCCTATATCAATGTACACTTACTTGCTTACACACTTAATAAAATGATATAAATTGATAATACTTTGTAGATAGAAATTATAAAATATATGATGAGAATGCCCGGAATGCTTGGTGAAATTATAAGCTATTAAGATTTTATGATAGAACTAAAATGAAGATACATGCATTTACATGATTTCGTACTTGTACACTATATGTTATATAACAATTTCAGGTAAACTAGCATCAATGAAACACCTCAAGGACGAAGTGACCACTATAAAAAGAGACATGGAGTGTGGGTTAAGATTAGAAGACCCGACAGTCACCTTGCAGCCCGGAGACACTATACAGTGTTATAAAATGGTTGAGGAAACACACTCTACCAGCTGGGACCCCGGCTTCTAGAAATATAATATATAACAAATATAAAGGATTTTATTCATATACAACACTAATAATAATGATGATTAAATGTAACAGATACTAGCAAAAATATATGTACAAATATTATTAGTTTAATTTTAAATGCTTGCCGGTGAAATTATAATTTAAAATCATATTCTTTATACACTTGATTGTCTTATTAAGCCAGTGCAGAAGCCTTTAAAATTAATGAAAATTGAAAATAAATTATGAATGAAACTCATTAGAAAAGGAGGGGAATAATATAAAAATTAAAGGAAAAATAATTTACTGGCGATCTGAGGTCGGGATAGGGTATGGGGATGGGTATTTAAGGGTAAAAAATGGGTTTTCTCGATTTCCGGCAAAACTAAAAGTCCTACGGAAAAATGTTATATGGTAAAGTTGTACGTAATAAAAAGACCTATAACTTTTGTACTAAATTTTTTTTCACATAACCTCAAAATTTATGTGAAAAATTCAAAAAACCTAGTTTTTTGTTTTTTATTTTTATCTCTTCATTAAACAATTTTTTGTGACGAAATTTGGTGAATACTTTTCTATTGATGTTACAAATACACTGTTATTTATTTGATTAGAAATATTTAGTTTTTTAGCTTATTTTGAATAAGTACCGAAAAATCAGCCTCACTTTCAATCGAAAAATCACCCGTCAACATATCAGCTATTTTCAAAAATTTGGTATGTTTTCAATTTTTTGAAGTCTCTATTTTCCGAAGGTGAAGAAAAAAATACAAGATTCTTATTTTACAGTACCATTTTTGGATAAAATAATCATGGCCCTTTTAATGAAATGACATTCGATATCGTTTGGAAAATGATCTTTCAATTTATTTTTAATAGTTTTAGAAGCTTAATGTCAATAATCTGTAAATTACCTAAAAGTGGGGCTATCTGGAGAACTTCCAGAGTACACAACTATTAAAAATAAATTAGAAAGAGCATTTTCACAACTATGTCAAGTGTTATTTCATTAAAAGAGAAATGATTATTTTATCCAAAAATGATACTGAAAGTAAGAAACTTATATTTTTTTCTTCACCATCAGAAAATAGAGACTTCAAAAAATTGCAATCGAGATCAATGCAATGCAATCAATCAATGCAAATCGAGAAAACCCATTTTTTACCCTTAAATACCCACCCCCATACCCTTCCCGACCTCAGATCGCCCGTAAATTATTTTTCCTTTAATTTTTATAATATTATCCTCTTTTTCGAATGAGTTTCATTCTACTATAATTTAATTATGTTTTAAAAGCTATCGGCACTGGTCTATATACATACAGAGTGTCAATAAAGAATGTCGCACTTAAGAAATATAATAAATACCTAAATAATAGACTAACGAAATAAAACTTCATTTTAATATAAAGAGAATCGTCTATTTATTAACTTGGTAGGCTCGTAATTCATCTCACTATTTCAGAACAAACTTCATCAATAAATTAATTCGGCCGCGAAGACGCGACATCTAGTAACTTTCATTGGAACTAATAGTTTACATAGAAATGAGCCGACGTGATCCGCGAACATCACAACTCAGATATGGATCATAGAACAGAACGTGTGTCGGCAGAGTTTTAGTGATTACTCTAATAAATTATCTATATAACAACCCACGCGGCACACCTTCTGTCCTCACAGATATTAGATTCGGTCCAAGACACGACCACATAGAATTATAGTAACAGTTGAAAATCTTTAACACTTTATAAATCTGTTATGTTACAACGTGTACAGGACTTACAAATAAATACATACATCGTGTTAATGTGAAATAATTGATCGTGAAATAAATACAAAATAACATCTTGTACATACATTATACATACGTTACTTCCTGTCGGGTTTCGAACGGTTCTCTAAGTCGGTGTTGCAGTCTATAGACTAACGATCTACATTCGTTGTAAACAAACTAAAAGTTAAATATTCATCAGTACTTTTCAGAAGCGGCGATAATAAGGCGTATATAAAATTTCTGTACATCTCGAAACAAATGTCAAGAGAATTGAATAAATGCATCTAAACGTTTCAATTGTAAAATAATCATTAAGCATCGTTCGGAATATAAAAGATTTCAATATTTCTACACAGTAGGAAATTTATACGACTCCGATAGCAAGTTGACTTCATGTACTAACTCCCGGACACAATGTTTATGTACTGCTCTGATAGATTACAATTTTCATATAAATAATTAATACTTTCGAACTGAATGACTGACGCTTCGTTCACTGTCTTTGTACCCCACTGATATCTTCATAAACATATAATATAATATTTAATTGAAACTTGTCGCGATCATAAACATTGGTCTCACGCTTCCAATTATATCTATCTATCGTCCGCGCTCCACGCCCGCGACAAACACAAACACAACGAACCATTCAATTTATCAATGAATTTCTAATAATATGGACTAGCAACAACAAAGTAATGTCAACGCATTATATTACATAAGAACTCAAACAACAACTGTCTGTCGCCGGCGAGGTGACGCGGACCAACACTCGACGACCGAGCCTCGCGTCGGTTCAACCTTTATATTTAATAAAATCAAATAAATAATTTTCATATATTGAAAAGCTCACAGTGCTCTCGGGACCGCCTCGTTCAGAAATAGACTCTAATACACAACGTAATAGGGTCGAGTGTGAACGGAGCGGCGACTGCAATCTTTGATCGCTTCACCTACGTACTATATATACACGTGAGCCGAGGGAAATGTCTCTGTTACGATCACATCGACCGACGAATCTCAACGTATTGCTCTAGAGGTCGACCAGCGAGCGGCGCGCTGTGTGTCACTTCACACTGGTCACGGTCAGTTCTTCTACACAGTATATATGAGCCGCGCATCGGTCGGTCGCTAGTCCACGAGGTCGCTCCTGTCCCGTCGTCGCTCGGGCCGCGGCGGTCTCGCCCACGTGTTGACGCCGCCGTCCGCGCACGCCGTCACCAGGCACTCGGCGCGGAACAACAGCGCCGTGAGTCGCTCGTGGGCGATCTTCTTACACACGAGGGGCTCCAGCACCGGACACTCGTCGAACCGAGGACAGGCCGGCGAGCCGATGAGACGCAGAGGGTCCGCGGCCGGCGTGCGGGGCGCCGCGGGACGCTCCGGCTTGCCGAGGCTGAAGTTACGACGGTGCTCGGAGCGACGCTCGCCGAACGAGAAGCCGGCCAGCCGCTGGGACAGGTGCGCGCCCAGCGACACGCCCGCCTCCTCCTTGCCGCGCGCGCCGCTCGTGTTGGCACCGAGCGTGCTGTTGTTCTTGGCGCGGACGGCCGTCTTCGCGCCGGACGGCTCGCCGGCCGCGGGGGCGGCGCTGAGCTCCACGTGCTTGTGACCGATCTTGTTCGTCTTGACGCAGCGCGGCGCCTTCGTCCCGGGCACTCCGTTGGGCGACAGGTGCTGGCTGTTGGGGGACAGGTGTGCGGAGGCGCGGGCGCGGGGCGGCGGCCGGAGCACGTCCTCCGTGAGGTCCCACAGACACAGCTGAGTGTCCTGCGATACGCTGCCCAGTCTGTAACATTGGCCGCCCTCTCCGCCGGGGTCGCGGTCGGCCTCCACGAAGCCGACGACGTAGGGGTCGAAGGCGACCACGGAGACCCAGGAGCGGTGTCCTTGACCCCGCGCCACCACGCGCCGCTCGCCGAACGACCACACGGTGACGAGGTCGTCCTCGCCGCCCACCACCACGTACTTCCCGTCGGGCGACCAACACACACACAGGAAGCCGCCGAAGTAGGAGCGCGCTCGACCGATCAGCTCCATGGTGTCGTAGTGGAACACTCGCAGGAACCCGTCCTGGGACACCACGGCCAGGTTGGCGCCGCACGGGGAGAACGCGAACTCGTTTATACAACTACCCTCCGAGCCTATCACCCACCTGAAATGTATTCAATATGATGACGTCACATTTATACACATGCATTTTACAAAACAGACAGTTTAACCAATTTGATTTCTAGTTAACGAACAACAATTAACAGTCTTCCTATAATAACTTGTGATAAACTGATGTTACATATAATAATTTTTATTTCTGCCATCCTATTACCTATACAAGGGGTTCCTAGTGGATTTGGTCCTACAGGTGTGTATCGAGTATCCGTCGCCCGTCTTGAACAGCTGGTAGTGAGGCGCGGCCCCACAGACTAGTTCCTCGTTGTATACATACAGCTGGCCCGAGGCGTGCGCACTCACAAACAGGTTACTAGACCCCGGCACCCATTTGATACATGTCACTCGAGTCTTGTCTATAAGCCTCTGGAAGTTGTATACATCAATATTAAATATTATTAAAATATACTGGTATTTCTCTGATTAATTATGTGATAGACATTGAAAACATATTTTGAATTTTCATTAAAAATTATTTATATTTTTAACTATGCTCAATAAAAATCTCTTGTATGCTTTCCTTATTAATAAAATTTAAAATGCATATTAAAAAAAAACAGAGGCATATATAATTGATAAAATATTTAGCCTTGAACATAACTATGACAATGAAAAAAATGAAGACAGAAATTCAATAACTATATAACATTAAGTCAATTAAGTTTTGCATGTCTGTCACATTAAAAGTAAATTAATTAATAGCCTTATAAAGTGTGTCCACTCACCTCTTCATTATATAATTTACTTAACTCCTTCTTAATAGGATCTATGAGTTGTATCTGGCCGGTGGAGAAACCAATGATCAAGGACACAGTCTCCGAGGTCATCGTTACCGTGTTGAAGTCGTGGCATGTCGGGTTCGTGCCTTTGTATATCTTTTTGTCCACCGGTTTAGTGAGATCTGCAGCCTAATGAAACAGAATATACCATATATAACGTTATACATAATTCTTCCATGTACAATTATTCTGACTCAATAAATTACTAAACTGTTCTTAAGTAACTCATTTTTTCTACAAAAGTTCCTTTAATTATTTTGTTATAATTAGTTGTTACTTAAATCATATAGGTATGACAATTCACAATTTATTTCTTATTGATTTAACCTAAGACATTATTACAACTTTTACCTAAGATATAGTAAATATGACTGAAGTATTTTCATTTCCTTTTTCTTTTAGTGTTTTTTCTTATATTAATATAACTTTATCTATCTAATTGTTAGTAAAACTTTGACCAATTTCATAATAAACATTTGAAATTAAACTTATCAATACATTTTGTTCTATCAATATACATAAACAGGATTTTTGTTTATATTCTTTTATAAAACTGAATACAATTTAAATTAAGCATATAACTTTATCAGTTCATTGAAAATACTAAATGACAAGAATAATTTGGCCACAAGTTTCTTCACAATTGCAACCCACTTAAAAGTCTCAAATAAATATTTTTTGTACTTGCTAGTTCTAGTGATACCATGAAAATGTTTGTTCATGTAATAATATTAAATATTTACATGCCCTTAAGAGTTGTATAACCAAAAAATGTTTACCTTTTTGATTCCTCTATAAACGTAAACATAAAGCTCCTTCCCGTGGTTAAAACATATTCTGTCGTCGGAGCCCTGTCCGTCGGAGCCGGGCGCTCCGTCCTCCGGCCCCGGCGGCAAGGTAACGAGAGACACTCGGACGTGAGAGGAGCCCGAGCCACTCGTGTACCCCACACGATTAGGCCTCGAATACTCCGACAATGTCATCAATCTGTACGTCCCCTCGCGAGTCACGAACTGTGTCTTCACATCATCCTTCCCGCCAGAGTCAGATTGCACGGCCATGTTATCATATCCTGTTATTATTCATTGATACCGCCTGGGAAGCCTGATTAGATCGGTTGACACCTCAGCCCGCACGCTTAATAATTATTTTATAAGCAATTTCCATAGCTTATAAGTACTTATACCGATCAACTCATCAGGTGCTAGATTATAATGCTATGTATTGTGTGTTTTAATTATGAAATGCTGAATCAAATTAGTTTCTTGTGTGTATGCAACATTAGCAGTCAGGTGTCATATCAGACATGACGGCTCGTTGTTTATGACTCTATATTTTTTCTGACGTAGATTCTTATAAAATTAACTTTTGTCTGTTATGTCGATTTAAGCCATATGTATAAGTAAAAATATTTTTCGTTTTCGATATTCGTATATGGAATTTTAATTGACAATTCAGCAATAATCTGCTTCGATAATTAGTATTTCATTGGTGTTATACATATATCAACTTTCACAAGCTCAACTTTTTAAGAGAAAATATGAGAGAAAAATTAAATTTCATGAAGACCGTATTTCGGTATTTATATTAGAAAATTAATATTTTTTTTTAAATAGAGGTACGAGATTCTAGGAGTGTCAAGTTTCAATTCAAAAAGAAGACAACAATATTTTAAACATTTATTTATTTAACGTTATATCTAAGTATGTTTTCATTTTTCAGCTGATTGTTCTTTTTCATTTGCTACCTTCTCACTCTCCGTCGTATCAGTTTTGCTTTCATTGCTTGTATTCTTGTCTTTCTTAGCTTCTTCTCCTTCCAAGAACTTGTCCCACTTGTTTATTCTCTTATTGATGTCAGCGTCGGTCTCCGCTATCCTATATTTAGTTCGTCCGTCGTATGTTTCCGCTGTTATTTGTCGTTTTCCAAACCACCTGCCATTTATTAGCTGTATAACAGCGTCGGCTTGTTCGGGCTCTTTCATAGTGATCTGTGCGACGCCTTCGGGATGTGCGTCGTATATAACCACCTTCCTCACTTCTCCACACTTGCTGCACTCCTCTCTCAAGTCTTGTTGGTAATCTAGTATAAGCTGAACATCATTATCAAAATCTGACGGATGGAATAGATTTTTGACGATAACTATCCGTTCGTGTTTCGATCTCTCTCCTATAAATTTCTCAGGTCTCCAGTCAAACAGTTTCTGTTGCATTTTCTTGAGCTTCTCCAGTTCCTTTTTCTTTTTCTTTTTAGGTTTCAGAGCTGGGTTGTAGTCACCTTTCATTTGGAATTGTGCTCTTTCAACTTTTATCTTGTTGCCTTTGTAATCACTTCCGTCGAGTAACTTCAAAGCCAGGTCGACGGACTCAATCTTGATGTATGTACAGAGAGCGTCACCTTTGAAACAATTCTGTTCTTTATCCATGTACAGTTTGACCTTCATCTTCTGGTTCACGGGATCTCTTTCAACCAGACCACATTTCTGCATCAGATTAACAAAGTCCTCTTCCGTTAGATCAGTCGGCAAGTTTGATACATAAACCTTTGTATTTTTTTCATCTGATTGTTCAAACCAAGTTGGCTCACTTTTTCTTTTCACACCAGTATCTAGTTTTTTCTTTTCTTCCTTCAATTTTGTCTGCTCTTCATTCTTCACTGATGTATTATCAACAAAACCGTAGGACATTTGATATAGAGCAAGAAAGTCATCATCGACTTTAGGGATCCAAGCCTTTTTCTCATCATCCCAAAAGAATTTAGATCCATCTGCTTCTGTGTAAATGTGAGTGTCGTTTTCATAGCTATATGTCCGTCCCTCGGGTTCACCTTTGGGTACCCATGAGTTTGTTTCCTTATTCCATGTATATTTTTGTTTGTTATTCGGGTCGGTATAAATAGCTTCATCTCCTTCATATGATATGTATGGAGAGTAATCACCCCATTGATCGGTGGTTTCGACTTTAGTTTCACTGTCACCTTTCCCTTTATCAGTATGCTCAGTTAAAGGTGCACACTCTTCTTGTTGTGATTCTTCTTTTGTTATGTCGTTAGTAGAGTCTACTGATGTTTTCTCTATTTGAGCATTTAGTAATTCAGTAGAATCTTGTTTATCTTTTGAATCCTCACCTTCGTTTTGCACATTTTTCTCTTCTTCGGTTAGTTTTTGCACAGTCTCATTCGAAAGTTTGATAACAAATCCAGACTTGGAAGTTTTTTCAGGTTTAGCCATATTCAAAGGTTATTTAGCAATATTATCATTTTATAACTATAATGAATACGTTGCTGCACCAATAGCTTCTCAGAAAACGTATTTTCTGTAAATATAATATTTTCCAGGCTCTCATAGAGAACTTGTTAGTTGTCACTACATATGACAATTAAAAAATCGACAGAAAATAAAATCATTTTTCATAGAGTTAAACATTAAGGACTGAATTTTTAACTAAATAAACCATTTTTATTGTGTTTTATTACTATACGTTATTATAAAAATCCCATTTTTTGTATTTATTTCAAAACCCGTGTTTTATCAAAAATATTTATAGTATTCAAATTATGAAATTTAGACCCTTCTGAAAACCCTGTAGTCCCTTAATAAATTCAAAAATAAAACATAATAATATGAATTTCCAAATTACTGGTAGTGTACCCAAATACAAATGGAAACAACAATAATTTAAAAAGTCCTAAGCTTCCGAACTTACCATTAGCCAAGAGCAAACTTACCGGCTTTCAGGGCGAGACAAACCATTGCACAATATGAAAATACATTCGTGTCTTATTTTTTAATTGGCAAGCAAAATTGATAAATACAATATTTGAATATGATTTCCATTTTCCACTAGTTCTGTGATAGTTACATCTTTATTTTGCCAAATTGCGTAATAAAATTTATTTTAAGTGTGAATACTAGAGTAACTGATTATTGATTGTTTTTATTTTTTGTGTAAAAACTATGGAAGATTTGAAGGACGTTTATATTTCGCCTTTGCCGGATTCTCCATACGTAAAGCCTTTTAGGTTTAATTATACTCAAAATGGCAAAGAGAAGACGTGGGATCTTCTAGAAGTACATGACAGCGTTGCTATAGTCGTTTTCAATGTCACCAGAAAGGTTATGGTTTTCGTCAAACAATTCCGTCCAGGTACAGCATAATAATTCATAAAAACAATTATAAAAGACGAAATATTTTTTTATATACACTAAATAATATTTTCTTTTCTATTTAGCCATATACTATAATTGCATCCATCCTGATGACCGCAAAGAAGAAGTTATTGACACTACGAAGTACCCAGCATCCCTGGGTATTGCTTTAGAGATGTGCGCTGGTATCATCGATAAAAACAAGCCAGTCGAGCATATTGCGAAGGAAGAAGTTCTTGAAGAATGTGGATATGATGTTCCTATTGAGAGATTGCAAAAAATTACTTCCTACAGGTGAACCTAAATTTAGGATTTAAATTTCTCATCACATTAAAAATTTAAGGTTGAACAAAGAAAGAAATAAATGTTTCGCTAATTAGCTTTTATTACTATTTTCATGCATAATTTAAAAATAATTACAATAAACACGTCATACACATATAGCTTGAATAATTAATGATACTTAAAATTATAGTAATAAAATTAAAATGTCTCTAGGTCTGGTGTTGGTGTCCAAGGTGCTTTACAGACATTTTTTTACTGTGAAGTAACGGATGATATGAAAACAGAACAAGGTATAATTTATAGAATTTACCAATTAATTTTAAGCAAAATTCTGCCGACTTAAAGCATGTTTACATAAGAATTCCACTTAAGATATGGGCTTGATATCAGTCTAATAACAAAGACATATTTATGTGGACATATTAACTTTCTTATTTATTATTTCAGGTGGCGGAGTAGATGATGAAATAATAGAAGTGATTGAAAAAACTATCCCCGAGATAGAAGAAATGGTTAAGTCTCCCGGACCGATAGCAAGTCCGCCGAGTTGTTTGTTTGCCCTTATGTGGTTCTTACACTATAAGGCAGACAAATTCAAAAAGTGAGTAACATGCATTTGACAATTGTTACATATATGGGTTCTATGGTTATATATATTGTGATAATTTTATTGAGAAATGAATTCTATTGCTAGAATTTAAACTATTTTTGCTTACAAATTTGTAATTTTATCCTAAATCATGATTTTTTTAGCAATTTTGGATATCAAATATATTTCTATATTTAGTTAAGTAATACACAAGTCCCTGGTTATACCTGGGTTCACATTTTATTAATTTTTTTTCTGTCATTTGCACAGATCTTTTGCACCGTATTGTAAGGAATGTAAGATTAACAATAATTCCAACATGATTATGTAAACATGAGTACATTTTTATATTTCATCCATATTTTAGTTAATTTGTATTTAAAGTATTGCTTATTTTTGACAATAAATATTAGGTTCCATTGACTTACAATTAAAACAATAATAGTTGAACTTTATTTTTATTTTTCATTTATTTTTATTTCATCTGAATCCCTAAGTATGGTTACAATTAAAATGATATATTTAGACATAATTCTGCACCATATACATGTAGTACATATAGCTAATTATTTGCAAACAACACTAATAATTGGATCTGCAAGATTATTTTTGTTTAAAGACATTTAAAGTAAAAACCTATGTATTTTGAACCTTACTTATATTAGTGTTTTCATAAACATGTACTTTCATCTGAACTTTAAGCATTGGCCTGAGATTTGCTTAATAATACCGAGTACAGATTTTCTTGTTATTTGGTCTGTGATTATAATCTTGTTTAATAAAATTATAGAATTTAAATGTGTTTTTTTTTTAATTCATGCCATAATACATGTTTCTAACACTGAATATAATATATTTAATATAGAAATGACGAAGTAATTATAATAATAATAAAGTATTAATTAATTATACAACTTAAAATGTTTACATACAAATTTAATGCTACATTAGCTTGTTCATAATAATTTAAATAACTGACTTTGTCTTAAATTATATGTAATCACACGAATGAGGGTATTAAATAAACAGGCAGAGATGAGACAATTGTTTAATGAGCACGAGCCTCTAATGTATCCTGGTGAGGTCTTCAACTATTTTGATGAGATCATCTACAGTAGCATCTCTCATCATGCCACCGCCATCATCGATCTGAGGAAAATATAAAAACATTATAGGAAAGTATATAAAAACTAAGTATATATATATATTGATGTTTTCAGAAGAACATTGAATAGTATTAAATGCTAAAATATTGTATAAAAATTATTTTAACATAAATACTTTTAACTTGTTTATACAGGGTGACTGGTGAATTACTATCAATATTTAAGGAGAATACTCGGTACATGATTCTCATTCGAATTATGTAAAAAAAATTGGTACTTAATTTTTGACCAAATTTCCGTATAAATAAATAAAGTGTGGACACGTTCCAAGTGTTCCAAGTGGGGACGCGTGCGGCGGCGTGCTGATACAACACCACGCCGCCGCACGCGCGTGTGTTTGTGTGTGTGTATACCTAATCGGTAGGGTATTCACACGATGCGTAATTAATTACATAACTTTTGGTCAACTTTACTTAGAAGTTTATTAATATTTATGTTATATTAATTTTTACTTTGTCCTATATGATCGTCAAATATCACGTCCTCAAGTATCGATAGTAATTCACCAGTCACCCTGTATATTGTACTAAGAGAATTAAAATTAAAAATATTGATTTGAATACTACTAAATATAGGACGAAAATTACTTAAATATAAATAATCTTCAATATGTTGGGAATTAATAATATGCTTACCTGTAATCCTTGCAATGTTTCTTGTTGCATGTCCCTAGATAGGTCTAAGAAACTTTCTATCAGGTCTCCATCAATAAAACCTTCTGCGGGCTCAGTTTTGATGTCAGTGTTGAATGATCTCCAGAATGAGTGAGGGATCTTACCCACCGACTTGATCGTGTGTGTGAGCCTTTCTTCTAATTGATGAAGGAAATCAAATAGTTCCTGTGATAATTGTACAACTAGACCTGGGAAGATATATTTAATGTTATTATATCTTTACATCAATAAAAGGAAACATATAACTAGAGTACTGTTATATTCTAGTTTTTAATGATTTTATTCAACAAAATTTCTAACAAAAATGTTTTTCTAATTCCAGATATATAGAACATGTGTAGTCAACAATTAATTATACCCATGGTATATAAGTGATTTTTGTTACTAAAGATTTGTTTTTGAGGTTTTAATATTATTTTTTTACTTTTTCTATGTGAGTATTCTTCTACCCGGTAATTTTCCCAGCTTAAGCCAGGGTCTGCCTTACATTTGTGAATAGTTTTGGCTACTTGTTTTTACCACCGGCTGCCTGCCTGACATCAACCCTCTTTTGGGAATGCATTAATCAGTGATGTCTAAATACTCTTACAAAGTACATATGACTCGGAAAAATCACATTGGTTCTTGCCCGGGCCAGGATCGAACCCGCGCCGTCGTACAGGGAGGTGGGCCTTTTAACCACTAGGCCATCACTGACTTACTTTTCTATATGAGTATTATAATTATCTATCAATGTATGTTATATACTAACATATAGCGCCGGAGACGGTCGCTAGTAGTACAGGTCGTGCGACAGGCGCGGCGGTGTCTGCCAGTTGAGCGACCAGGGCTCCCCTCCTCATTACATTCACCATATCACCAACGTGGAACTGACCCATGTAGCCCATCTGCTGTCTTTCTTCATCAGTTGTAGCCGCGCTGAAGGATATACGATACATATGAGTAACAAAATAAAATAAAAAATAAAATAAAATAAATAAAAAGCACAATATGAGATATGGAGTTGATTGTCAATGGATTTCGAAGTCAAGGAATACTCTTTGATGGTGAATGAAGTGTCATTTAACTATGAAACAACAGTGAATTGGCTTTTGATATCAGTGAAAAAAAACTTATTTCTTGCTTAAGTCAATTATAGTTTAGCTAAGTCTTGAACCCAATCGTACAATTAACCAGCTGTAAGAAACTATATATATTTACAAGGGTACATTAAATAATATGTATAAGCAATCTCCTCTCCGTCTCGAAAATATGCGTCTGCTACATAATCTCCAGGCTCGGGTTTACTGTGTTTTATACATCAGAACGCAGTTCCCTATTTCACAGAATTCCATAAACGTTGAAGGAAAAGTAGCAAAAACTTTATTCTTCCTTTTATATCTTTTATAAGGAAATAGAAATAGAAAAGTTGAATCTGTTTTTAAAATGTTGGTAAGCATTGCGACGCGTGTGCACATATATCAATGTAACTCCTAAACTAATAGAAATCCTATTCTAAATTTTTTAGGGTAATTTTGATATATGTTAAGCTTTATTTTGAATAAAAAAAAAAAATGGTCGAAGTGAATGAAATTCAAGTTTGAAAAGTTTACTTCCGGTTTTGGACATATAAACAAAACCTATATTTTTTTTTATTATTGTTAAAAAGAACAGTCTTTTCCGATAAGTATCGCTATGATAATATATACTTTATTGTAAATTTATTTAATTCGAAAAAATACCTTCATATAAATTAATATTTCAATTACGACAATTCTTTAGGTACCCATAACTTGTGAAATATACATCATACAAAAAAATATTCTGTGTTTACATTCATACCTACTAGAAGTATAAATGGTCCCAATATGATCAATTTTCCGAACCTCACTTTTTTTTCCTGTCCGCTTCAAGTGAAATGCCCCAACTATCAACAGTCGATCCCAAGAAACATAATAATGACATACATATATCAAGTTAGGATACTTCTTATAATTCGTACCTATCTTTTTGGCATACAAAGAGGTTGAAGCTGTTCTCAGCGCCGAGGAAGGTGTCATCATCGAGTATCTCGACGGCCGTCATCCAGTTAGGGCTGTAGTCACGGGCTATCTCTTCAAACGAACCCTCCATCTAATAACATATATAATATGGGATCATGATTGTTAATACAATATCATAATTTATAATCTTTATATAAAAGAAAGTCGTTTTAGTTACACTATTTATAACTCAAGAAAGACTGTACGGGTTTGGCTGAAAATATGTGGAAAGATAGCTTAAACTAGGGAAAGACCATAGGATACTTTTAACCCGATTGAAAAGGAAAAACATATTTATCAAATCCAAAATCTTATTATGTACTATCTTTAAAGAGGAATAGAGTTTGGCCGGTCAGCTACACATTTCTTATTCCGAAACTGACGCAAACGAAGTCGCGGGCAAAAACTTGCAAAAGCAATTCTTGTATAAATATATAAAAATATAATTTGGAATCTCATAATCGGCTTCAACGATTTTCATGAAATTTTGTATATAGGGGTCTCAGAGGCAATAGATAGATCTAGTTAGGAATCATTTTTAGAAAACGACATTTTATGAAAAAAATAAAAATGAGGTGTTTAAAATATGACTCTTCCTGACATCTATTGGCGAATAGTAATATAGTTTTTGCTAATTGCTTTTAATAATTGTTTAACTCTTAACCACCTGAGTGAGTATTCTTAATAATTCTGCTAGACCAAATGATATTTGGAGTTTCTCTCTTATTTACGGATGACATTTTGGACAAAATTTTACTACACACAAATAATGAAATAAGACTAATGAAATCAAAATACAATACGTATGATATAAAAAGGAAACACAAAACGGCTTACCTACATTTTGTATGTAAACTACATATTTCTTTGGAATTTTTGTAAAAAATGTGTTGTTACTGCTGCGAAAAAAATTAAAAGTTTTGGCGTTGCAACTTTCTTTAATTTGTTATTTTTTGTTTCGTTTTTTTTTTATAAAATAAAATAAAATCAAATATTTTATTTTAATTTTATTCAAATTAATAGAAATAAGAAAAAAAAGTAAAATTTAGTATTTTAGAATAAAGATCTCATTTTCTTAGTATAGTTATTTGAGGTGCCATATTCCTTATATCATAGTTAATATTCCATTGTTATAAAAAATTTTGATTACTTTTAATTTGTGACGCATAAATAAAGCAATTAAGTAACTAAAATTTACTTTCTTATCATAGACCTCAAAAAAATCGCAGAAATTTATGAGCGGTCTCTGTGACCGCACGTAGGTGTTTAAAGGACAGAAATAGGTGGTAGGTGGTTAAGGGTTAAACGAAACAACAGCAGATGGCGCTGCTAAGTAACAGGAAGTCATTGAGTGTTTGTTTTGAGATTAGACTAAGAAATTAATTGTTGATTCATATTGTTTGATTGTTGTTTTGTGTCTCTTAACGTGTTCACTTAAAAATGCCTACACGAAAAAAAAAACACATAATAAATATTTAAAATTCCTAAATACCGAGCAAAGCTCGGTCACCAGATATTATAATTAAGTCCCGCGGTGGACAGACAAATTTTAAATAACTAAAATACTTCCTCTTTGGCCTTGCCTTAGGGATCATATAAACTGCAGATTATGTGAATTAGCAATTAAAATGTAATATATACAGATTATATTTCAAGTATTGCCAGGATGAAGTATGTAGTAATATCTACTAGCATTACTGGCACAACTTACAATGTTCTACAATTAGAAATTAGCATTAATGTGATGTTTACATTTTGGGGTATTGGTTAAAATCCGATTTATTTATGTTTCTTATAATAACCAACCTGTTTATACTGCAGTAAAGACATGGACCTCATGAGATCTCCCACAAGTATGAAGTCTCCCTTCACTTTGAGGTACAAGGCCACAATATTGTTGAAGTGACTGCATTCTAATCTCAACTCCTTCTCTGAAGTCCATTCAAATAATCTGACCTGAAAATTATTACTTTTAACTTCTAATCTATACTAATATTATAAAGCTGAAGAGTTTGTTTGTTTGTTTGAAAGCGCTAATCTCCGAAACTACTGGTTCGAATTGAATAATTCCTTTTGTGTTGGATAGTCCAGTTATTGTGGAAGGCTGTGAGCTATATAACATCACGCTACGACCAATAAGAGCAAAGATATAGTGGTAAATGTGTAAAAAAGGGGAGAAATTATTTCATCTTTGAAGCCTTCCGTTGCGTGCGCCGTGAAAACGGTTCAAGATACACAAAAAATATATATTAAAGAATAATAGCTCTTTTGATGATCTAAAAAACAGTCCGCGACAGTATATGTCTATCTTTTAAGATTAACTCACCAAAACCGTTTTTATGGTACCTAATTTTGTCGAAATAATTTGTTTAAGTTGTATCAAAATAATAATATTAATCTTTATTCATATAAACAAATAAATATGTTGTTGGTTAAGAGTATTTCATTATTAATAAAAAAAAACATAGGTTTCATCCTGAAAATTCTACGGGAATTCGACCATTCCGAAACCCCGCAAGAACGGGAACTACATATGTGGGAAGAACCAAAAATCTGTCGGAAGTAACTATTCCACGCGGACGAAGCCGCGGCAAAAGCTAGTTTGATATATTTTTATATTATATTGTATAATCTGTGTAAATATTCTTGTAATTTATTATTGTCTATGTTCAGTATACTTACAGTGCTGTTTATGGATGCTAGTAATTTTCCATTGAACTCCACTAATGTGTAACAGCCTCCTTTAATTTCTTTTTCAGCCACTTGAGTGAGTTTTCCCTCGCACCAGTGGAATAAAAGAATCCTCCCCTAAAAAAAAAAACACAATTTAGACTTACATACATTGTTATATAAAATGTATTATTTTTTTTTAAACATATTTAATTAAGTACATTACGTTAGTTGTTGTAATGGCATTAATACAGGATGTTAATTGAATAGTACTTTGCAGTAAAGCCATAATGAAATTTCTTGTATTAATAATCGGTAGTAGAGTAAGACGTCTTATTACTTTCGACCCCTTAAGTGTGGCTACACTACATACAAGAAAAATAATTGACCTGAAATATACTAGAGTGTTGATAGATATAATAATAATTATCCTTGTTTAAGAATTAAGTATCAGCTGAATACTTACAGAACTGATATGATAATTGTAGGTATATTAAATAAAGTGTTGTAGTCAGTGAAGTTTGTTGAAGTCAAAAGAGGGTTGATATCAGGTAGGCGGCCGGTCGCAAAAACAATTAGCCAAAATTATTCACAACACGTAACGCAGACCCTGGCTATAGCTGGGAAATTGCCAGGAAGAAGAAGATTAAATATAGTGTTGTAACCTGTTTGGGTTCTGATTCCTCCGGGTTGAGTATGGCGGTGCCCACGGCGTAGTAGTGGTTGGGATCGTCGGCTAGCTTACACGACACTAGAGACATGGCGAACTCGTTGGCCAGCAGCTGGTGAGCGTGGAGGACTGTGGATAACGATATATACGTATATATAATTTAAGTGTATATAGACTAATATATATAACACTATTTTTCCATATTATGTATAATATTTATGAACCCAAAGTCTTTAAATGATACAGGATCATGTAGTCATGTATAGATTATCTTTCTTCTGAGTTCATTAGTAGAGATAGTGCAATGTCGTCAGTATATGACTTCTATAAATGGTTACACTATGAATGTTATATCGAAATTAAAAATTTACAACTACGTTTTGACTAGTTCGAGACAGTGGCACCTCGCCTTAAAACATTGTTTAATTTGCAGTAAGTATAACAAAAACGGACTATCTAATATTTCTGTTTTCTATTAATGTCGTCTTTCTTAAATAGTACATTTTAAAGAAATCATTGCTGTAGTATCGGTCTAAAATATTTATGATTAATAAAGTACCAAAGGTATGAGTAGAGATGTAAGTATTGTAGTGTATGTGCGCTCCTGTAAGTGTTGTAGTGTGTGTGTATGTTAGCATGTGAGTGTTTGTTTGCTCCTGTAAGTGTTGTAGTGTGTGTATGTTAGCATGTGAGTGTTTGTTTGCTCCTGTAAGTGTTGTAGTGTGTGTGTATGTTAGCATGTGAGTGTTTGTTTGCTCCTGTAAGTGTTGTAGTGTGTGTGTGTGTTAGCATGTGAGTGTTTGTTTGCTCCTGTAAGTGTTGTAGTGTGTGTATGTTAGCATGTGAGTGTTTGTTTGCTCCTGTAAGTGTTGTAGTGTGTGTGTATGTTAGCATGTGAGTGTTTGTTTGCTCCTGTAAGTGTTGTAGTGTGTGTGTGTGTTAGCATGTGAGTGTTTGTTTGCTCCTGTAAGTGTTGTAGTGTGTGTATGTTAGCATGTGAGTGTTTGTTTGCTCCTGTAAGTGTTGTAGTGTGTGTGTATGTTAGCATGTGAGTGTTTGTTTGCTCCTGTAAGTGTTGTAGTGTGTGTGTGTGTTAGCATGTGAGTGTTTGTTTGCTCCTGTAAGTGTTGTAGTGTGTGTATGTTAGCATGTGAGTGTTTGTTTGCTCCTGTAAGTGTTGTAGTGTGTGTATGTTAGCATGTGAGTGTTTGTTTGCTCCTGTAAGTGTTGTAGTGTGTGTATGTTAGCATGTGAGTGTTTGTTTGCTCCTGTAAGTGTTGTAGTGTGTGTATGTTAGCATGTGAGTGTTTGTTTGCTCCTGTAAGTGTTGTAGTGTGTGTGTATGTTAGCATGTGAGTGTTTGTTTGCTCCTGTAAGTGTTGTAGTGTGTGTATGTTAGCATGTGAGTGTTTGTTTGCTCCTGTAAGTGTTGTAGTGTGTGTATGTTAGCATGTGAGTGTTTGTTTGCTCCTGTAAGTGTTGTAGTGTGTGTATGTTAGCATGTGAGTGTTTGTTTGCTCCTGTAAGTGTTGTAGTGTGTGTGTATGTCAGCATGTGAGTGTTTGTTTGCTCCTGTAAGTGTTGTAGTGTGTGTGTATGTCAGCATGTGAGTGTTTGTTTGCTCCTGTAAGTGTTGTAGTGTGTGTGTATGTTAGCATGTGAGTGTTTGTTTGCTCCTGTAAGTGTTGTAGTGTGTGAGTATGTTAGCATGTGAGTGTTTGTTTGCTCCTGTAAGTGTTGTAGTGTGTGTATGTTAGCATGTGAGTGTTTGTTTGCTCCTGTAAGTGTTGTAGTGTGTGTGTATGTTAGCATGTGAGTGTTTGTTTGCTCCTGTAAGTGTTGTAGTGTGTGTATGTTAGCATGTGAGTGTTTGTTTGCTCCTGTAAGTGTTGTAGTGTGTGTGTATGTTAGCATGTGAGTGTTTGTTTGCTCCTGTAAGTGTTGTAGTGTGTGTGTGTGTTAGCATGTGAGTGTTTGTTTGCTCCTGTAAGTGTTGTAGTGTGTGTATGTTAGCATGTGAGTGTTTGTTTGCTCCTGTAAGTGTTGTAGTGTGTGTGTATGTTAGCATGTGAGTGTTTGTTTGCTCCTGTAAGTGTTGTAGTGTGTGTGTGTGTTAGCATGTGAGTGTTTGTTTGCTCCTGTAAGTGTTGTAGTGTGTGTATGTTAGCATGTGAGTGTTTGTTTGCTCCTGTAAGTGTTGTAGTGTGTGTGTATGTCAGCATGTGAGTGTTTGTTTGCTCCTGTAAGTGTTGTAGTGTGTGTGTATGTTAGCATGTGAGTGTTTGTTTGCTCCTGTAAGTGTTGTAGTGTGTGTATGTTAGCATGTGAGTGTTTGTTTGCTCCTGTAAGTGTTGTAGTGTGTGTGTATGTTAGCATGTGAGTGTTTGTTTGCTCCTGTAAGTGTTGTAGTGTGTGTGTATGTTAGCATGTGAGTGTTTGTTTGCTCCTGTAAGTGTTGTAGTGTGTGTATGTTAGCATGTGAGTGTTTGTTTGCTCCTGTAAGTGTTGTAGTGTGTGTATGTTAGCATGTGAGTGTTTGTTTGCTCCTGTAAGTGTTGTAGTGTGTGTATGTTAGCATGTGAGTGTTTGTTTGCTCCTGTAAGTGTTGTAGTGTGTGTGTATGTTAGCATGTGAGTGTTTGTTTGCTCCTGTAAGTGTTGTAGTGTGTGTGTATGTTAGCATGTGAGTGTTTGTTTGCTCCTGTAAGTGTTGTAGTGTGTGTATGTTAGCATGTGAGTGTTTGTTTGCTCCTGTAAGTGTTGTAGTGTGTGTATGTTAGCATGTGAGTGTTTGTTTGCTCCTGTAAGTGTTGTAGTGTGTGTGTGTGTGTGTGTGTGTGTGTGTGCTGACCCTCGAAGGTGTGATGGTCCAGTATGAGCAGGTTGTGTAGCTCGAGGTCGAGCGGTGCGGGCGCGTGCTTGGAGGGGGGCGCGGCGGCGGAAGCGGATGCGGCGGCGGTGGAGGCGGACGGCCGCACCAGCGACCCACATCCGCCAGTCCATTCCACCTTGTCCACGCGCATCGTGATCACGCCGAACGTCTGGAATTATACACTTGTGGGGATGACTGTACACTTTCTAGTCAAAGTTCTCATGAAAGAAGTTTCGAGTCATTGTATAGCGGAAAATAAGGATCAAGCGTTGATCCTTGAGTTCGTTCACCTCATCTATACCAGACAATATATTTATACAGTTTTATTAACCAAATAATTGTAGAAAAGTGTAATAATTCCACGTCATACTGCCGGAAAGAACTGTCTTTATACTGATATATATTTATAATAATAGAAGACCCGGGGAACTTCGTATCGCCCTATAATCAAGAAATATCTGTTACGTTTTTTTATTTATATTTTTGGAGTTTGCCTATTAAAGCCATAAATCTCCGTGTTTTGAAGTGCGACAGAACGATTGACATATTAGTTAGTTGTCAAATCTAAAGTAAAAAAAAACGTTTGTATCAACAACTACTAATAAATTAAGAATTAATTAAAAAAACATTATCCAGCAGACAAAATTGTGAATATAAACCTTTCCAAGATCCCATTGAACACATACAAAAAATTTCATCAAAATCGGTCCAGTCGTTTGAGAAAAGTTCAATGACATACACACTTACAGAAGAATTAAATAAAGATATACTGATATTTAGTTCGGTCTGAGATTTATCAAGAAATCAATAACTATTTCATAATATATTATATGTATTTGTCAACCTGTGAAGCTTCTTGGTAGGCAATACGTCTTGGCGTCTCTCCCAGCGGCACGGTCCGTATGTGCAGCTTTTGTATTTCATCTATAGTACCAATTGTCACTGTACTATCTGTAGCTAGAGCCAAACTGGAAGTAAAAATGTATCATTATTATATTACAATGACATATACATGACTAATATACATAAAGAAGCACATAATATTTGTTGTGTATTGCTTTGTATTGTTAATATAATACGAATAACTGGTTATCGAACTTTGCTCGGTATTTAGGAATTATTATTTTTTTAATTTCGTTAAGGCATTTTTAAGTAAACACGTTAAGAAGACACAAAACAATATAAATCAACAATTAATTTCTTAGTCTAACCTCAAAACAAACACTCATTGACTTCCTGTTACTTAACAACGCCATCTGCTGTTGTGTCGTTAAAGCAATTAGCAAAAAGTAGTATTATTATTCACCAATAGATGTCAGGAACAGTCATATTTTAACACTTCCTTTCTGTTTTTTTTCATCAAATTACATTTTCTAAAAATTATTCCTAGCTTGAACGATTTATCGCCCCACATACTAAATTTCATGAAAATCGTCGGAGCCGATTCTGAGTTTCCAAATACATATGTATATATATACAGTAATACCCCGCTTAACGCCACCCCGTTGTGCTCGGTTTCACTATAACGCGATTTTGAAAAATTTATTCAGGTTCAGAGTATAGAAAATAATGATGACCGTGTCTTGAACGTGTGTCAAACGATTAAAAACAGTGTTTGGTGTTATGAACGTATTTTACAAGAAAATAAACAAAAGGCTACCCAAAAGACAATACATGTATTTTTTCTAAAAAAATAGGAGAACCTGTGTATTGTATAGTGTTCTTAGAATTAAAGTGATTGATTAAAATGATGTTTATATTTGTGTATTAACTTTTGACTGTGTTTAGTCATTAACCTCGATATACGCGAATTTCAGTTAACGCGATTTTCTTCGGAACGTATCCCTGGCGTAAAGCGGGGTATTACTGTACTAGAATTGCTTATTTAAAGATATAAGATGTCAAATATAATGTAGGTAAATAATTTTATTGTCTGTCAAACAGTCTTGCTACTTAGAACACACATATTTAATAGTTTTATTGGATTATATATGACAAAAATGTTTACTAATTCATATAAGTTTACCTGTCGGGATAAGCCACGGCGTTGAGTGAACACATGTGAGCTACTTCTTTGAGATTAACGTTGGAGAACACCAGCTTGTGGTTGGACGAAAATATAACGGTTGGACGATCAGAACACGCGAAGATATTGGTCGTTGACAGAGATCTGGAAATATAATAACACATTTATTAGAGGATTCGACTTTTGTTAATAGTGTTAAAGTCTGACATAGTGGTGGCCTAGTGGTTAAAAGGCCCGTCTCTCATGCACGAGAGCGTGGGTTCGATAATGGCAAGTACCAATGTGATTTTTCCGAGTCATATGTACTTTCTAAGAGTATTTAGACATCACTGATTAATGCATTCCCAAAGAGGGTTGATGTCAGGCAGGCCGCCGGTCGTAAAAACAATAAGCCAAAGTTATTTACAACATGTAAGGCAGACCCTGGCTAAAAGCTGGCAAATTGACAAGTGGTAGTAGAGTATTAAAGTCTGTTTGAGAGATGTCTAGGTTATATTGGGGCATGGAACTTTGTAAGAAATCAAATTCAACATTATGAGATCTAAGACTCTCGCGGGTATTCATTTAGATGAAACTAATATTATTCGGATTGCTACACGTTTATTATTTTGAAACATCTCTTCTGCCCGTGTTCACGAGTATAAAGTAACCGAAACGTCGGGAGAATGTAATTTTAAAATAACGATATACGCATAGTAATCTGTATAATATTAGTTTCACTTTTCAGCTACTTTATTGTGATTATAAATGTAGACCAAAACTCCTTGGTATTAATTTCCTACTACAGTCCTTATAATGCGAGGTCCTAGTTACAATCCCTACTAATATTATTAATGCGAAAGTAACTCTGTCCATCTGTCTGTTTGTTACGCTTTCACGCCTAAACCACTGAACTGATTTTAATGAAAGTTGGTACAGACATAGAGTTGGCCTTGAGAAAGAATATAAGATATTTTTTATCTCAGACTTTTGAAAGGTTCGGGCGGAAAGCTAGTGGTATATAACCTGAAGCTCCTCAGCACGGTGGGCTGCGTGCCGAGCGTGACCTTCTTCTTGTTGGTGAGCGCGCCGCTGTCCGGGTCCACGGTGAAGTAGAACATGGAGCCGTCGCCCAGCGCGCACAGCAGGTAACACACGCCCTCCAACACGCAGATGAGCAGCGAGCGGGGGATGATCTCTACACATGAACAATACACACACACACACATACATAGTAATGTTATACATACATACATTATACATACATAGTAATTATTCACACTAAGACCTGTTCAGTAGAACAGGTCTTAGTGTGAATAAGTTAGAATTACTTTCAGTGTAGGATTTTCATAAGTAATTTAAAATAATCTATGACATATTTTGTATGGACCTTGAAAAGTATTCTAACTACAAATATATATAATATTTTTTAAGTAATATAATTGTGGTACATAGGTAACTCTAAAAGACAAGAATTCATTCTGATAAGTCCATTAAGGCTGATATAATAATGACAAACTAGATTATTTTAATCTCACATGTTAGTATGAATGGAGTAACATTATATCTGATACTAGAAGACCTGGCGAACTTCGTGTCGCCCTATAATCAAGAAAAATCTATTACGTTTTTTTATTTATATTTTTGGAGTTTACCTGTAAGCCATAAATCTTTGTGTTTTGAAGTGCGACAGAATGATTGACATATTAGTTAGTTGTCAAATCTAATGTAAAAAAAAACCTTTGTATGGGAAATAGAAAAGGGCTGTTTTTATGGTTTTCCCAGCAATGAAATAATCTTTTCAGCTTTTATACCTTCCCTGAACCTCCACGAACATTTCAAGACTAAGATAAGATAAATCCGTTCAGCTGTTCTCGAGTTTTAGCGAGACTAAGGAACAGCAATCCATTTTTATATATATATAGAAGATAGAAGATTATATATGATATCTATATATAATGAGATCTAAGATTTTCTCAAGTCTTATTCATTTAAATGAAACTAATACTTTTTGGATATATACTACGCGATATTATTTTTGATAGCACCTACATACTCCCTACGTTTTGGCTACATTTCAGCAACCGTGATTACGGGCAGACCAGATAGGTGTATGTAGTAGAAGAGACGAAACCTCTTAACATTCAATGTATTCACCGTGCGGGTGTCGGGTCCATCGTTGTAGTGAGAGGAGCTTCAACAGTGACTGGGACTTGCGACCCAGGTGTAGGTTTTAGGCTCCTATCTAACGCGCGTTATACGCTCACTTTCACTGTCCAAGCTCCTCTCTCTACCTAGCTTAGTTTCATTTAAATGTCTGTATAGTGTTCATTACCTCCAGAGAGTTTCTCTGTATGTAGCGGTCGTAGGTCAGGTAGTTTCAGTACTCGTACAGATATATCCGTCCACAAGCCGACCCCTAGTAGGGCTTCCTCGCCGCCCGGGCCGAGGTCCAGGCAGGCCACCTCCTCGTCCATACACACCTCACTATACATACAAACATACACATGTCTTATACATATATACAGGGTGACTGGTGAATTACTATCAATATTTAAGGAGCATACTCGGTACATGATTCTCATTCGAATTATGTAAAAAAATAGGTACTTAATTTTTGACAAAATTTCCGTATAAATAAATAAAGTGTTGATACGTTCCAAGTGTTCCAAGTGTGGATGCGTGCGGCGGCGTGCTGATACAAAACCACGCCCCCGCCGCGTATGTGTGAGTGTGTGTATACCTAATCTGTAGGGTGTTCATACGATGCGTAATTAATTACACAACTTTTGGTTAACTTTACTTAGAAGTTTATTAATATTTATGTTATATTAATTTTTATTTTGTCATATATGATCGTCAAATATCACGTCCTCAAATATCGATAGTAATTCACCAGTCACCCTGTATACATTTTGTTTTAGTGTGTAGGAATATGAGGACTGAAATGTATGAAAATAGCAGTATAACAGATCATGTAGTGTAGTATGTATGGATTAGGTGCACCCAGCACAACTACAGTCAAGCTTTTCATGAAAGAAGTTTTTTTTATATATTATTATTTTTTTACTACAATCTGTCTCCTTCAAGGGACATTCAGAAGTATATAGATTTTGTGCTTTTGCAGACTCGCTCAGTATGTGACCTGTGTCACATCTTCATTGTTTAAACGAAAGAAGAATGGAAGAAGTTGTGAGTGATTCTGTGGTGAAATGAAATCACCTAGTTTTGACGACCCTTATATGTAAGAGAATCCTTGGGTTCATTCACCTCACTTATACAAGGTAATATATATAACACTAAAAAGCTAGTTATATATGGCTTCTTATTGTCTTTCAGTCACAACATACAACCTAGTGTAGTACTAACGCGATCAGTTCCAGCGCCCCCTGCTGTATAGCCACGAGGTATATCCTGGGTCCCGCGGCGGCCACGGCCCGCGTGTCTCCGCAGGACACCACAGACAGCGCCCGGCCGGCGGGGGCCCAGGCGGCGACTCCGCCCCAGCCGCCCGGCCCGCGCCCTATCAGCCGTATACCCTCGTCCGTGACTTGTATCAGCTGGTCGTGGCACACGTTCCCCGTGAAGAAAGTCTGTCTGTCCGACACGAAGCCTTTTATTTCTGTTTCCTCAACCTCTTCCCCGTTTAAGGTCAGCACGCTGAAATATTACAAACAAAAATATTACATAATCTGTTGAGACGAAACCTCTTAGCATTCAATGGATTCACCGGGCGGGTGCCGGGTCCATCGTTGCAGGGAGAGGAGCTTTAACAGTACCTGGGACTTGTGACCTAGGTGTAGGTTTAATGGGCCATACTTATTAATAATATAATCGTTATTTATAATATATCGATGGTCCCTATGTATAAGGGCCAATGTAGCAGGTTAACACTTCATAATACTGTATAAATATACTACATCTATTTAACAAAAAATGCGTATTTGTTGGTGGGCATAAGTAACACACTTTTTAACATAAGGGCTTATATACATAATTTTCAAAACTAGTAGATTTATAAAAAAAATATCAATCTCAAATCATGGTTATGTCATAGTTGCTATGTAAAGTTTCAAAAACATCAGTTGTATGTACAGACATTAAATTCAAACTAAAAACGCTTCTACTGAAAAATTTACATTTTCCACATTGGCCCTTATACATAGGAGTCATCGATATTTAAGTATATGAGGTATATCACCGAGTTTGTCCCACAAATGCCAGTACAAGTGTGTCGTGATGTGGTCCCTGGCCAAGTGTGAGCGCCCACATGCCCTTAATGCCGGGCAGGTCGATGGACGCCTGCTCCTGAATGCCGATACCGTTCCTTATTATACGCAGGGAACCCATCTTGAACGCACCTGGTCATATATATTTAACATTTAAAATCACTGTCCATGAATTGAGGCAAAATATTAACAGACTTAAAAAATCGTTATGATTCTAAATATCAAAAAGCTGAAGTGTTGCGAGTTATGTTGGCAAGGAAAGGAGCTAACATTATACATCATAAACGGAAGAGGTGGGAAAAAGGAAAATTCAACCGTCTCTCTCACTCATCAGACGACATGGAGCCATTAAAGACTAATTCACGCCGATCTGGATAGGGTGGTACTTCGGTCGAGCCAGTCCTTGTTCTAGCTGCAGTAACTTTTTAAGGTGGTAGAGCCTAGCTGTGATAAGTTACTACAGCTCGAACATGGACTGGCTCGACCAGGGAAGTACAACCCCCTCTCACAGAAGATCGGCCTGAAGTAGCCTTTATTGGCTGCGTTTCGTCCGATGAGTGAGAGAGCCGGTTGACCTTTTCCTATTTCCCACCCTTTCCTACCATTTCCTAATTCCCACCCCTCCTTATTCCTAAAAAACAAGGTTGGCAACGCATCCGCAACAAATATGTTGGGGATGTCCATAGGCGACTGTACTACCTTACATAAAGTAGGCCGTCTACTCGTTTGAAACCTTTCACATAAAAAAAAAGACCACAGCTACGCTCTCCCACCTCCATATGCTTGTTTATTATCTATCTATACATATATCATCTAACCGGAGCAAGTAATCAGTTGGTTCTGCCCCTGCCGCTCCAGGTCCACAACACACATGTCCACGATGGGCGCCAGGCTAGTGAATGTCTCCATGGGCTGCACGTACTGCGAGGCGTCGTCCCTCACAGCGGCCAGTCGGACCAACGCACTGTCTCCCAAGCGAGAACCCACGAATACAACGCCGTTGTCCAGATAGGTCATACACTCGGGGATAGGGATATCACCTGGAATATGATACCCATTTTATTCTGAGACATTATTTATTTTTTTGCTACACACATACATTACATATATAATACAGTTATACAGAAAAAAAATTAATCTAAAGAATACAGTGTAGCAAGGATAATCAGTATAAGCTGTGCTAATGCACTGATTTTCAGATGGCCCCTGAATATTGGGTAAACAAAACATTTGTGTGTGTAGGGTCATGTTTAACTTAAGTCAATAGAGTTATATGATAAAAAAATATTTAGTTCATACTATGAATTTTTAGATATAGTTACCATCAAATACACTAATAACATGGTCCAGGATGTATCATACAAAAAAAATTCTAGCATTCTCATACAACTTAGTTAATATTCATTTTAAATTAAATATATTGTATTGGCAGTATGAAATAGTAGTAGAATAGGAGGTCAGAAGATTGATGGTCAAATAATGATGTTTCAGTACCAAGTAATTCAACTTTGAGATCCCTGACAGAAGCAGTGCCGTCTCGCTCCGATAATTCCAATAGCAGCATGAACAGTCGACCGGCGATGTCTCCCAGCAAATAACGAAGACCTCGAGCGTCCACGCGGCAGTAGCAGTTGATAGGGGTCTACATACAAAATAATAAATTATGACCAATTTATAATATATAAACATGCAAGTATGGATGTACTGATATAATATACTGATGGCTTACTTATAACTAGGAACATAATTCACAATACATATGTGATATAGCCTATAGGGATTTGTTGGATGTTCGAGTTAAAAATAGACAGAGACCAATTATACTATATTGGATAATATACTCAATGTTTTGTTATATCAACTCTTTAACCTGAGTTTTTGACTTTCATATGATCTACCTTATATATACAAGATAAAGCTCATCACTATATCACTAGTAATAACTGTGAGCTAAACTAAGTTATCATACATTGACCAGTTAATATTGATCTCCCCAATTACCATTCCTCATAATTTGTATTCAGCATTTATTAAGTATGTAAATTAATTTGTAAATATTTAACATTAATTGATACATCCTGAATAACATTTAAAATTACTGTATATGTCACATTACTTTTTTTATATTAATGTGTGTTTGTTTTGAAACTCTTAATAAATCTGCTTAATAAGACTTCCGTAGAAGAAGTGAGTTATTTCTTAATATTTCTAAATACTGACTACACTCATTGTGACATTGGCAGAATATATTAAGCACATTTGCCTTTACTAAAGATAAAAATTAAATACAGATTCTCAAAATATTTATTTACCTTTATCTGTGGCGGTGCAACTGCTACATAACTCTGTCCATCATGATACACAATAGATTCCTGACCAATCACAATAGCACCTCCTAGAATTGTATGCAATTTGTGTTATTAACACAATCTTAGTTTACAAGTATGTAAGTAGTAAGTAGTACAATGTAACAGAGTGAGTGCAGAGTAATAAAGCTTCTATGTTAAATAAAATATAGTACCTAGTGGACTTGGAACTGGAATGAGAATTGAAGCCTCTGTCTCCACATTATCCTGTTTCCATGGTATCTTCATGAATTCTTTGTCCCTTAAATTTATCTCATGAGTCTGAAAGCATGATGATACTGTTATTATATAGTATAATCCTATTTATTAACATGGTATTAAATTAATAATGAAATATTAATCAAATGACAAATATTTTAAATTATTTTACATAATTTTATTCTAACCTTGTAAGAAAACATTAAACCATTTATGTCTAAAAGACTCAATAATAGGAAAATAGTTTATATTCTTTGGGCATGTACACAAAACAAAACATGTTTATACAATTTTCAGATTATAAAATAAAAAATACCTTAATATGCCTTCCATTGAGATCCTGGTGAATTAAAATTAATGTAGGATTCGAGCATCCGTGTAGGAATTCTAAATCATACACATTCAGCTCTTCCAATCTGAAATCAATCAAAAATTACAAATTACAGTGTTACAAAAACACATATGATTTCTTATACATATAAATTGTATTATTAAATATGTTGTTTACCTTAAACTAGCAGCTTTGAGCTCGGTAGAATCTTTATCAAGTGGTATTATTTTAAATAATCCATCATATAGTCTGAGTCCGATGACCCTCGCTTGTGGGTCTATGACGGCCAGGATTCCGTTCTCCGATGGTTTGCCGATACGGTCGGCAACATTGCCATGAGCCCTGGTAACTACCTCCAACTCCCCGTTAGCACCTGTCCTCCATTCCAGTATCATAGCATTATACCGAGCCGTCAGTATGAATACTAAATCTTTTTGTTCATACTGAAATATATAATAACTAGAATAAAAAGAAATTCACAGAAATATATATATTTTTTGGCTTTTACATGAAAAACATAAAGTTGGCGTCTTAGTGAGAATCTTATTAAGAAAATAATCTCAAATAGAAGTATTTGAAAGTAATATCTAGCAATTTCTTGGAAAGTTGTATTTATTTTCCGATAGTAATGCAAAATGTTATATGAAAATTAATTAATGTTTATATTTATAATGAAATACAAAACACTTAGTCCTTCCTGTTTAAAGATATATAATAAAATATGTAAGTAAATTTAGCAGTAACAAATGAACTATGACTGAATATGTTCAAATGCTTACCGGTGGTCTAAATAATTTCATCTTAGCCACCCTGCCATACAAGCCAACCTCCTTCATAGGTCTCAGTCCCTCGGGAGTTACTAGGTACATCTCCAGGCGGGACACCTTCGCTACCAGAAGGTTTAAATCCGTAGGTGATGTAAAATTTCCTGTTATAAAAGAAAGAAAACTTACTATGGAAAATAAACCTATATAAATAGTGATAATTCTTAAGAATTCATAAAAATATATATGAAAATTTTGTAACGCATACACACATAATTTATATTGTTATTCGTTAATCGGCTTCGAAAAGGAGATTCGTAATTAAAAAATATCTTAAATATATCTTAAAAATACTATATATATGTAATTTTTAGAGTGCTCTTTCAAAAGGGATAGATGCAAAAATTGGTATAAAATACAGTTCTAGTCAACAAATGTTCACATAATCTTATTAGCCGAAAATAATTCAATATACATATGTGTATATTGTATTATGGGTAACCTCTACGGCACAAAGATCGCAATAATTTTAATTACTGTACCTGTGATACATGATATAACTGCTGTAGGCTTCTGTGCGGTAACTACGTAATGATAAGCCATTGTGAATACCTTTATTTACGCATTTAATTTTAATAAGTATTCGTATGTATTTATTTTTTATTTATTAACCGATACACCCGTACGCCGCCTGTCCGTCTTTAATAATCTGTGCACATTGTTTATAATTTACAGACTATATCACTGTAGGTTTATTTAATGCAATTAAATGTATAAAAACGTCCGAAATTATTTCATTATATAACGAAATTATTTCATTATATAACTATCTATTATATTATACATTTAACTCCTGTTTCGGTTTAATAAATATATTGTCAGAAATACCCCGGTACATTCTGCTGTCACGCCACTATCACTACCAATCAGATTTTAAAATCCCGCCTAAATTGCTGTGACAGATAGCAACGATAAATGCATTTTAATTTAAAAAAAACTTATCGTAACAATAATTTGGGTTATTGAAATTACCTAATAGGAATTATTAGTTTAGATACAGAGGTTACCATTAACCGAAATATTGATGCTATCTAACAATAGAGTCAATCAAATCCCAGTAAAGAGGTTTTATTGAAAACCCTTTTTTTGGTAACTTGAATCCTCAGTAAATTAGTTTGATTAATTCCAGATAGGTACACAAAATTCTTGTGGAATGTGTTAGTAGTCAATTGTTTAAACATAGTTCAAACACACATTCATATAAATTCCAGGATTGCAGATCATCTTGCGTATAAATAATTAATTCTCATTTAAATTCTCTGTAAAACAGACTCCTTATTCATATTTACGGCTTTATATTTTATGAAAATAATTTATTACAAGCCAATAAATTAGATTAATACATTACACAGCGCCTCCCTCCAGGGTATTTTAATTTTTAAAGGAATAGAACATTTCTCGTCGTTTGACAAAAGTCGCATTGTGGCATCTCTTTTTTCTTAACGTCTAAAGTTGGACTGAGTTTGATCAAACGAACCCTAAAATAAAGACGGCATTGAATATTTTCTTTTATTTTTCATTCTTATATCTAAAATTTCAATTCTTTAACAAATTATTTTCTTCTGTTTACTACGGTTTTTTTCACTATTAATTATTCTCCATTTTTTGAATCGTTTAACCTCAAAGGAATGATTTCAGCCCAGTCCTCGGATCAGAATGGTGCGCATGCGCAAGGCCGTATGGCCTACAATGTATGCCCTACATCAGTAGTCCCCAAACTTACTTTACTTATTTTCAAAATTTTACTGGTTTCGGTGGACCCCATGCTGCTACATTTCTACCACATTCTTAAAGTCGCCAAAAAATAAAAATTGTGTCACTTCTGAGTTCTGTCTCTATATTCCGATAGGTAAAATAAAATTTTAGAAATTTTGGAAACAAATGAATGAGTGTTTGCCTTTGGCATCAAGTATTTATAGTGGTGATCAAGTTCATGTCTGAACAAGCATTAAGCATTGTCGGGCGGATAGCGCTTTGCAAGTCTGTACACGAAATTGTACGTAATATCGAATACGCAAGTTTGGACAAGTAACAGTCGCTTGCCTTATTAAAATATTATCTGCTTAGTTAGGTACTTAAAACAATGTAGGTAGGCCCTTATAAAAACTATGCTTACATTTTTGCTCTTTACTATCAAAAGCAGATAAATTTTCGTGGACCCCCATTTTTTGTTCACGCCTCCGTAAGGGATAAGGGTCACTGAGGCTCCGAACATAGAAAAGATGGCAAGCAGCTATCTGCCCATTCGCTGTTTTCGATCGCTTTCTATCGCTGTTTTTTGTAATGTTACAAACTGGAATTTAATGGGAGTTTAAGTACTGAATGTGCCATGCGGCCTCCATCGAGCACCGTCGCCGCAATCCCAGAGGAAGCTACGGCAACAGCTATTCCTTTGTCTTTTCGGATTTGGGCTAAAAGTAAATTTATTGAATAGTTTTCCTAGTGCCTCCTGGCGCATCTAAGAAAAACAATCTACCCTCACTATTATCGATTCTTTGCACAACAATATCATAAACTAATTTTTGTTCCGTGTTCAATCGAGGAACAGACTCTGATATTTGTTGCTGTAAAGAAGAGACATTGTAGTCCAGTTCTCTTATTAAATCACTATTGACTTCTCCGATTCCTTGTGGCCGGTTCATTCCAAAATCTGATAATGTCTTCCGAGATATAGCCATCACTTGGTCTTGAATTTTAGTTAGCGCCTCGTTATAAACTAAATCATAATATGTGACATTGAGATTATTTTGTTGTAGTCTGTTCAAAATATAGTCAGACATATCATTTTGGGACTTTTCCCATAATATCTGAGGATTTGAGAGACCACACGTCGCTATGAGAATGGCAAAAGATCTCTCACCTTAGCTGCTGATCTACAATGTCGAGCCTCTTCTAGTGTCGAGTCCCAATGATTATTTATCATTCTCTAACTGTCATTATTATCGTTAATAAATTAATCAACTGTTAATAAATTAATCCACTGTTAGTAAATCCACTGTTAATAAATTAATCAACTGTTAGTAAATCCACTGTTAATAAATTAATCAACTGTTAATAAATTAATCCACTGTTAGTAAATCCACTGTTAATAAATTAATCCACTGTTAATAAATTAATCAACTGTTAATAAATTAATCAACTGTTAGTAAATCCACTGTTAATAAATTAATCAACTGTTAATAAATTAATCCACTGTTAGTAAATCCACTGTTAATAAATTAATCAACTGTTAATAAATTAATCAACTGTTAATAAATTAATCAACTGTTAGTAAATCCACTGTTAATAAATTAATCAACTGTTAGTAAATCCACTGTTAATAAATTAATCCACTGTTAGTAAATCCACTGTTAATAAATTAATCCAATGTTAATAAATTAATCAACTGTTAATAAATTAATCCACTGTTAATAAATTAATCCACTGTTAATAAATTAATCAACTGTTAATAAATTAATCCTCTGTTAATAAATTAATCCACTGTTAGTAAATCCACTGTTAATAAATTAGTCAACTGTTAATAAATTAATCCACTGTTAGTAAATCCACTGTTAATAAATTAATCAACTGTTAGTAAATCCACTGTTAATAAATTAATCAACTGTTAATAAATTAATCCACTGTTAATAAATTAATCAACTGTTAATAAATTAATCAACTGTTAGTAAATCCACTGTTAATAAATTAATCAACTGTTAATAAATTAATCAACTGTTAGTAAATCCACTGTTAATAAATTAATCAACTGTTAATAAATTAATCCTCTGTTAATAAATTAATCCACTGTTAGTAAATCCACTGTTAATAAATTAATCAACTGTTAATAAATTAATCCACTGTTAGTAAATCCACTGTTAATAAATTAATCAACTGTTAATAAATTAATCCTCTGTTAATAAATTAATCCACTGTTAGTAAATCCACTGTTAATAAATTAATCAACTGTTAATAAATTAATCCACTGTTAGTAAATCCACTGTTAATAAATTAATCCACTGTTAATAAATTAATCAACTGTTAATAAATTAATCCACTGTTAGTAAATCCACTGTTAATAAATTAATCCACTGTTAATAAATTAATCAACTGTTAATAAATTAATCAACTGTTAGTAAATCCACTGTTAATAAATTAATCAACTGTTAATAAATTAATCAACTGTTAATAAGTTAATCAACTGTTAGTAAATCCACTGTTAATAAATTAATCAACTGTTAGTAAATCCACTGTTAATAAATTAATCAACTGTTAATAAATTAATCAACTGTTAGTAAATCCACTGTGAATAAATTAATCCTCTGTTAATAAATTAATCAACTGTTAATAAATTAATCCTCTGTTAATCAATTAATCAACTGTTAATAAATTATTCAACTGTTAATAAATTAACCAACTGTTAGTAAATCCACTGTTAATAAATTAATCAACTGTTAATAAATTAATCCACTGTTAATAAATTAATCAACTGTTAATAAATTAATCAACTGTTAGTAAATCCACTGTTAATAAATTAGTCAACTGTTAATAAATTAATCCACTGTTAGTAAATCCACTGTTAATAAATTAATCAACTGTTAGTAAATCCACTGTTAATAAATTAATCCACTGTTAATAAATTAATCAACTGTTAATAAATTAATCCACTGTTAGTAAATCCACTGTTAATAAATTAATCAACTGTTAATAAATTAATCCACTGTTAGTAAATCCACTGTTAATAAATTAATCCACTGTTAATAAATTAATCAACTGTTAATAAATTAATCAACTGTTAGTAAATCCACTGTTAATAAATTAATCAACTGTTAATAAATTAATCCACTGTTAGTAAATCCACTGTTAATAAATTAATCAACTGTTAATAAATTAATCAACTGTTAATAAATTAATCAACTGTTAGTAAATCCACTGTTAATAAATTAATCAACTGTTAGTAAATCCACTGTTAATAAATTAATCAACTGTTAATAAATTAATCCACTGTTAGTAAATCCACTGTTAATAAATTAATCCACTGTTAATAAATTAATCAACTGTTAATAAATTAATCAACTGTTAGTAAATCCACTGTTAATAAATTAATCAACTGTTAATAAATTAATCAACTGTTAATAAGTTAATCAACTGTTAGTAAATCCACTGTTAATAAATTAATCAACTGTTAGTAAATCCACTGTTAATAAATTAATCAACTGTTAATAAATTAATCAACTGTTAGTAAATCCACTGTGAATAAATTAATCCTCTGTTAATAAATTAATCAACTGTTAATAAATTAATCCTCTGTTAATCAATTAATCAACTGTTAATAAATTATTCAACTGTTAATAAATTAACCAACTGTTAGTAAATCCACTGTTAATAAATTAATCAACTGTTAATAAATTAATCCACTGTTAATAAATTAATCAACTGTTAATAAATTAATCAACTGTTAATAAATTAATCAACTGTTAGTAAATTCACTGTTAATGAATTAATCAACTGTTAATAAATTAATCAACTGTTAATAAATTAATCCACTGTTTACTAATAAACTAATTAAAACCTATTCAATTGTTCTTAGAAGTTAGAAAGACAAATGACAATATTTAATAATAATAAAATGGCGAAAAAATTATATGAACAGTTTACCGACCAATCAGAGAGCCCCGTTTCATTAGTTAGTTGTCAAATCTAATGTCGAAAAAAAACGTTTATAATAAAACAACTAGGTACTAATAAATTAAAAATTAATGAAAAAACATTGTCCAGCGGACACAATTGTGAATCTAGACCAGTAGTCCCCAAACTTATTTTTCTCGTTGACCACTTTCAAAATTTTACTGGTTTCGGTGGACCCCCTGCTGCTACATTTCTACCACATTCTTATAGTCGCCAAAAAATAAAACTTGTGTCACTTCTGAGTTCTGTCTCTATATTCTATATTATAGTAAAATAAAATTTTAGAAATTTTGGAAACAAATGAATGAGTGTTTGCCTTTGGCATCAAGTATTTATAGTGGTGATCAAGTTCATGTCTGAACAAGCATTAAGCATTGTCGGGCGGATAGCGCTTTGCAAGTCTGTACACGAAATTGTACGTAATATCGAATACGCAAGTTTGGACAAGTAACAGTCGCTTGCCTTATTAAAATATTGTCTGCTTAGTTAGGTACTTAAAACAATGTAGGTAGGCCCTTATAAAAACTATGCTTACATTTTTGCTCTTTACTATCAAAAGTAGATAAATTTTCGTGGACCCCCATTTTTTGTTCACGCCTACGTAGACCCCCAGCAAGTCTCCCGTGGACCCCTGGGGGTCCACCTGGACCACTTTGGGAATCACTGCCCTACATGATAGGACTATCTTGCTCTCGAACAGATTGCGGGAAAAACATTCAATCCCGTAAATCCTAATTATATGTAGGATACTCGAATAAACTATTATATTTTTATCGGTTCTCGATTAGTCTAACAAGTTTAAATGAAATCTGAGGGTCAAAGTGGCTCCAATTCGAGTACAAAGGAGTCGTTTACAAATAACCAAACATGTAGGTGAAGCTGATAAAAGCTATGTAAAAAAAAGCGTTAAGGCTCAGAAAAAAATAAAGTCCCAAATAAAACAAAAGTCACTTCGTGGCGTAGCCGGAGTGAACAAACCTCGTATAGATGTTCTGACTTACATCGATATACAACACGTAACGAAGTTGTAACTTAATTGTTAGTTAGGAACCTAATCTTTTAAAGAGACCGTGTCAAAATTCAGGCAAGGCAAGGCAAGTTAGAAAAGTTATTCTCATGGATCAACAAATGAAATAGAAACACATATACATTTTAATACTAGATAAATTAAGTCATTTAAAAAAATAATTATTCGGAAAAGAAATCTTTTGGCCACTTCATACTTTAAAATCATTAATATATGGATTGATAGAAAATTTATAGAAAAACACAGCAATAAGGAAATATATATAATTTGTAATAATATAATCTGCATTGTTACTTATAATCTATGTAGTATGTACAATATGTATAATAAAATCAGTCTTCATGGTTGCTAGGCGGCACACTCTCGAAGAGCACTTGCGTCAGGAATGTGAATTTATCTGGAGAAAAACAAATTCATATTATTACAATACCAGGATTACTTCTACTTAAGATAATTCTACATTCTATTTAATAAATTTGAAACAAAACATGTTGCCAGTATCTTTTAAATGTGTACACAAAAGAAGAAAAAAAAATACGTCCTACTTACTAAGTAACTTTGTCGGCGTTTTCTTATAATACACGAACACGGTGTACACAACAACACCGAGAGCCATGAACCCGATGGCCATTAAATATTTAACTGACGGATCATGTACTATCGGCAGTATGGACAGGAATATCGCCACCAGTAATACGAAGCATGGCACTAGTGTAGGCACGCGGTAGGGTCTGGGAGTGTCTGGCTGAGTCTTCCTTAGCACTAATAACGCGACCATCGCCAAGCCGTAGAAAAACCAGAGGAACCAGCTAGCGAAGTCTATGAGAGTCTTTATGTTACCCACAGATATGAATATTGAGGTTAGGAAGGCCTGGAATAGAAAGAACAAATTATATTTTATTAAATTAAAATGAAAATAAAAAACAGATTTATTTTGCATTTTTTTTTCAATATACTATTAAATTGGACCAGCAGAAGTCAGAAGAAGTGAGGAGGAGGAGGCTTATACCCGAAAGGGGCCATGACATATATAGCTTGTAGTGTTTATTTAGCTTAATATCTTTTATTAACTGTAACGTATGTGTTAGATTTATTAAGGCTTAAATAATATTTAATAATATTAAGAAATTTGTTTTATAAATACTACCTGAAGTGCTACGGCTGGTGCAGGCGTGAGACGCTTCATGTTGACGAACGAGAAAACCTCTAACATATGACCTCCTCTGGCAGCCGTGTAGCATACTCTGAAAATATATATAATTTATTACTAAATATCAAAAAAAAACTCAAAAATTTGTCAAAAATTCCTTTTATATATTCACAAATGTGTTAAAATTAAAACTTTATTCCGTTATTTGAGTCATACTAACTACCTAATTAGTTTTATTAATGATTGAAAAAGTATTTGTCACCTGGTAACACCAAACTGCACACTCATGGCGCATCCGAATGTTGCGATGGCAACACCGAGTGGTATTATAAAGCTGAAAGGTCCCAATACTCTAGCACCGAAGGCAACCGCCACTGCTGGCACTGAGACCATTTCGGTGTAACTCAGTACTGTCATGTAGGCCACGTTCATGAATACGTATAACCCCGTGATGAGAGGCACGGCGATCGATATACTTAGAGGGACATTGCTGGAAAAATAAATATTACCATTACTCATGCGAAAGTATTAGACTGTTTTCAATATTAGTCTTAATATTTTTATCACCACAAGAACTAAACAAGTCGGTAGACAGAAATTATTAATTAATTAGTAGGTAGTAGTAGACAGAAATTTAAATATTAAATGTAGTTTACTTCTTTATAATTATAAGCAATTTAGGTCTGGAATTACACATGGAAAAAAATTAAGACATTTTCTAGATATAGTCCTAAATGTTCAGTACTTTTTTTACATTCAGGTGATGTACATATGTATACATTACATATAGTCTTCTAACTTTTTGTTAGTTTACTTACACGCCAGGGTTAATGATCTCCTCTGTGACAACAGTGACGCTGTTCCATCCGTCGTATGCCCATAACCCTGAGTACAGTGCGAGCGCTATGCCGCCCGCGCTGTTAGTGCTACCCTCAAAGCCTTTACTGAGGTTGTCTGTGTTGCCTGTTATAATAATCAAAGAATAAAAATTATACAAATAGAATTATTTATTATATATATTATACAGGGTGACTGGTGAATTACTATCGATACTTGAGGACGTGATATTTGACGATCATATATGACAAAATAAAAATTTATATAACGTAAATATTAATAAACTTCTAAGTAAAGTTAACCAAAAGTTATGTAATTAATTACGCATCGTGTGAACACCCTACAGATTAGGTATACACACACACACACACGCGTGCGGCGGCGTGGTGTTGTATCAGCACGCCGCCGCACGCGTCCACACTTGGAACACTTGGAACGTGTCCACACTTTATTTATTTATACGGAAATTTGGTCAAAAATTAAGTACCTATTTTTTTACATAATTCGAATGAGAATCATGTACCGAGTATGCTCCTTAAATATTGATAGTAATTCACCAGTCACCCTGTATATTAATTTCAATACATTTCGTTTATTGTTAGCAAGTGGTACCAAATCCTAATTTTTATATTTGCTTGTACATACTAGCATAGTTCAAAGGTATTTGAAAGCGTTGAATATACGATGCATTTGAGACTGCCTGATTGTGGTAACTTTTAGGTTTTAGTGGATAGTTCCGAACCTATACTCGGGATTTCCACATACCCCTATGACTTCCCTTTTATGGGAACGTGTAATAAAATCGCTTCCTAATCGGTAAAAAAAGGCTTAAAAATCTGACTGCTCCATTAAATAAATAGATTTTAAATCCTTAATTTATATTTTATTTATTCTATGAGCAAACAACTGTTACAACTATTTTTAACCCCTGGTGATCTGACATTATCCATTATTTCGAATGCAATATATATTTTATTGTAAATTTTATACTAATTCATGATTGAACTAAATATTACGCATCGCCACTATTGTGCTGAACTTGTAGTGTCGTTTTGACTTTGATTGTTTGTCTGAATTTGATTTTGAATGACGAAGATATCAGTGTAACTTGTCATTCAGAACAAATAGAACACATATAATCTTATCTTTGTATGTTTATTTGTGTGATTACTAGTAAATTTTCCTAACAAAATTCTGGACTACAAAGGATCTTATAGAGTACTAAATAATCTGACAAATTCCATAGTCCAGCAATATCTTTCAAAATGTTTGTCTTCTTACCTACAGTCAACTGTAATAAGATACTTTGGTATCAGTAAATATATAATAATATAGCAATATAATTACCTTTAGCTATTTCATATATCCCACCGCTGATGACAATAAGACAGGCAAATACTTTGCAAACTCCAAATATATTCTGGACCTTCACAAACAGCTTTACACTCGTGATGTTTATGTACGTCATTATAACTGAAAAAATAATAATTATTAAATATTTTGAATATATGCAGAATTTATTACATTTTCTAGTATATTATAATTTTATAGATGTAATCGCCATCAGTTTAGATTTTAGAGAAACTATTTGAAAAGTACACATTTATCAATATTTTTCAAAACATCAGTATTACCTATTTCTCAGTATAATTTAGGAAATAGATTTAACAATAGATAACAATAATATGGTCATAAATTATTTGAAATGTATATTATTTCATGATATTCAAAGAATTTTAAAAGCGTTTATATTTATCAATTTACTACATAAGTAAAACATTGTATATTAATTAAATAAGCATAATATTTACTGAAACATAAAATGCTCTACAAATTGATAACAATGTGTTATCAGAAAACATCAACAGAGAATTTGACCATAACTTTTGTGACTGGTGTTTAAAAAAAAACAGAATACAGTTTAAAATAAATTTATTCACAGAAACATATCAATAAGCAATTTTAACTTCCATATTATTGTAAGGATTTTTAGTGACTATATTCATATCTTTTAACAGTTCCACTATTCTATAATTCTCTTGTGTGATCGTTATATAACCAGATGATTCTTCGTTTAGCTTTTCCTGCATAAGATGCTGCAAAAAAAAAATAATTAATAAATCCAAATATATTTAAGTATGTTAGAAATATGTGAAAAATTTATAATAAGCATTTTTTTCATATTTTAAATCTTTATACTTTTATATGTTTTATTCATAGCATGAATAATAATATATGACAGATTATTTTTTATCATATTCCATTTTGTTCCTTAGCTTACAACACCAGTTAAGTCATTTTTACCAACTTTAAAAGAGACGAAAAAAACTACCTATATTAAACAATCTGTGTTTTTTTCTTCACTACTTAGTAAACCAGTTAGCGGTTAAGAAATAATTATTTATACATATTTTGACAACTTTGGTTCGACACACAATTCACAGTGTCATCCTATGGAATTGAAATGTAAAAACAGCCAGTTTTTAACTTGAACAGTGTTGTTAGCTAAGCATACATTTTGTATCATACTTATACTCTTAATGAAATCCTTACCCCCATAACATCCATAATTTGATCACTAGCATGAGGAAACAATGACTGTATGAGTCCATGCAGTTCAGTCTTTAGCTGGTGAAAGGTTTTCTTAGCCTTGTCTAAATGCTCTGGAATAATTTCTCTCTGAACTATTCTTTGCCTGGAGAGAGCATCTTCAGATATTTTAGTTAGATTATTCAACCTATAAAGAGAAAGGTTATAGTCTTAATGATGAGAGCTCAATAATAAAATAAGTCATGTTTGAAATGGATTGAAACTTCTAACATACTTTTATATTTATATATGAAACTTACCTTTGTATTTCGTTTTCTATATCGAAAATATTTCCCCTGGTGAAGGCCGAGAGTTCTTCAGCTTGTTTCGTCTTATTCTTCATTTCAGCGAGAAATTGAGTAACTATTAAGTTTTCATCAGTTGGTATCGCTGGGTTGGAATTTTGTAGTTCAGTTCTTAATCCTTCCACGTAACAGAGAGCCTTCTCACCGATATTATGTGGCGTAATGGACGCGTCAAACGGAGCATTTTCTATTATATTACAAGTATCCAGACATCGTTCTTGGATACGTTTTATTTCTTGCGAAAGCACTTCTTTAGTTTCGTTATTAATTTTGTCCGACATTATTTATATAAACAACAAGATATAGATATAGATTAACTTTTAGAAATCCATGAACATTTTCCGTAAAATACAAACGAACACAATGTATTTTTTATATATCTTTAAGAGCAAAATATTTCCGAATAGTATCTAATATACGACCGAGTCCTTACACGAATGTCAAGATTCAAATGCGTAAACGTCAAACAAAGTAACTGTCGTTAACGCCATTCCGTATCACAAAAATTTAAATAAGCAGTTGCCATAACAAAAAAATATTTTATAACATGTTTGTCACTACATATCTTAAACGGCTTTATTTTTTTAACATAGGTCATAGCTGTATTTAATTATTTAACAGAAATTATATTTTATGAAAATTATAATATTAACTCACATAAAGCTGCAAGAGATCCCAGCTTAATGACAATTCTTTTGTAGTCAGGGTGTAATTCCGAAGTAAACGGCTGTATAGCATATTCAGCAAAAGTCATAACAATTATAGCCACTTCTGCTGGTCTCAATATTACTACGTATATCCAAGCACAAATAAACGACGGCAATGGACCCCAATATTTGTGTCTTTTACCAAAGGCTTCTTGGAAATATGAATATTCAGCACCCGATTTACCAAGAACTGTACCCAATTCTGCGAATGATAATGCTCCTGGAAAATAATTTAATTAAGTTTATTGTCATATAAAAATGTTATTTTTAATGTCTTCAAATTTTAATACTTAAATAGCTTACCTACACCCACCTAATAAGGATATAATTCCGGAAACTGTCCAAACAATGAGGCATAACGCAACAGAACCGGAGTGTTCTAATGCTGATGCCGGTGACACGAATATTCCCGAGCCGATCATCACACCGAGAATTAGATTGACAGCAGAAAAAAGACCTAGCTCACGCTTCAATTCAACAGTACTGCCATTTTCACTTGCCGTTTTGTCACCCTTTTTTTCTATTACTTCCAACTCCTTGGTCGACATTTTGCTACCTAAAAAAAAACAAGACATAAAATGTATTTTTATTTTTCTAATATGGCAACTTTATTGTAAACTTAGGAATCTTAAATTAAACGTTGTATAAATTGCGAATAAATTATCAATATGTTTATCTTTTAACCGTCAAGTAATAATAACGAAATAGGAAATGCTTTGTGGGAATATTGCTCCTAAATAAGAGGTCATTGGGACTCCTATACGTATTGCCGAAACAGGAAGGCTGTCCACTTTGTAGCAATCAAAACGTTCTTGCGGTGAAGTCCACAAAGAGGTTATCGTTATGTAGCGAAATTGGACGTACAATACTTAAGCGTTTCGACCTTTGTCAAGATAATTGAAATATTTAGATGAACGGAAGACCTTTCTTTTCATTCAAGGGTTTATTAAAAATTACGGAGCTTATTATTTTTTTAAATTCAAAAAACTTGTCTAAACTAACTTATTATATGACAAAAACAAAAATTGAACTTTAAGATGATTGGATGAAAAAATATATAAAATAAAATATGTATATGTATAAATTAATTGAATTTTTATGATATTCTTTGGTTACTTAATAGGAAATAGGGGTATATTGAATGTTTAAAACAAAAATCAGCGGTTACAAGTGGACATATTGTTTTTTTTTCTACATTTTTTATCTGGACAAAGTGAAAATAATGAAAGCATTTATAACATAGTGTAGAGCGAACACTCGACGCAAGTACTATGTAGCCTAATCGGTCAAGTGATAGTCCACAAATTGATTTATAGTTTACGATACGTATAAATAGCTTTTAATAAATATATTTCTAAAGAGTATTAGTTCAAAAAATATTTTTTGTCTGTGCTGAATCTTTTTGATAATCAAAAGTAAGCAAACAGTTTTTTTATATACCTAATTATATTTGAATATGGCCAGGATTAACATTATTCTAGATATCTAGGTTATAAGTTCTGTTAAAATTTGACATATTATCCATTTAATTGATATTCAACTTAATGTAGGTTTAAAAAAGGGTCTAAAAAGATGATTTGAAGAAACAGTAATAGTAATTGTAAACCTCGGTTATACCACGGAAGAAAGCTCAGATTTATACTACACATAAGAGCACTCTGGCCGAACGTGTTAAATATTAAACTAGGGTTAAAGATCCAAGTCACAAGTCGAAACAGTTAACCTCCGGTTCACGTATAGCGTTATCACTAATTGCTAATTATTATATTTGCTATCAACTCGGCCCTTCTGCCTATAACAAATATATAAACAATTCTATTCTAACGCAAATTTTGTGGTTCATAGTTTTTACACATATTTTGACGCTGTTCAAAATATATTAATTTTACGAGAATATTATTAAAAGTGGCTTATATTTTTCTAAATGAATTTCAATTTGTTTCTCAAATTAAATTGATTGGCTTTTGACACAACCAAAAAACAAGTTTCCCTACGTATATTAAGGAGTTACATTTTAGGGAAATTAAAAAAAGAGTTAGCAGCCAAAAAATTATACAATATAATAAAATATATGTATACTTTTTTATTATTATCATGACAGCGTAAGCACACTGTCATAGTATTTTATTGTCCTCCCCTAATATTTACATTTATACGCAACCGATGGACAGATAACGAATTCGTTTTTGCTATCTGAACTCTCAAAACAGAAATTTATTGTTTTCAATTATCTATATAAAATATTTCTTCTATCGCGGAAATATATAATAATTATTTCGTCTAAAAATGTTCAGTTATTGATAAAATTTATTTTACGATAATGAGGTATTGTAGATAATGCTTTATGTCACAGTTTATTATTTGACAATTATATGTTTTTTCATAAAGTTATGACATAAATTTAATTATATAAAAATATTACGATTAATAATAACATTAAATTGAACTATTCAACATCTATTTTTGTTTAAAAATGCAAATTCAAAGAAATTAAAAAAAATCTCCAATTAAAATCATTTCCTCTGCCCATGATCATGGTTGCTGCAAAATAACCGAAACGTCGGGAGTATATTGTTAAAAATAATTATAAACACCAAATAAAACTGGAAAATACTAGTTTTATATAAATAAAAAAGTAATTGAGAATTCAAATTACGAAATAAATATTTTACCTATAGTTATTACTTTTAAATAATTTTAGTTTTCGTTTAACTCGTGACTGCCTGTGCTAACTACATATGACTCGGTAGTTTAATTTCATATACATTTTCTATTCCCGATGATTTTGTGGCACAGATTCTAAATATCCTAACTATACAATCACGATTACTTGAATCACAATACTTGTCTAATTTAGTGCGTAATTAATTACGTATTCGTATGCTGCTACTGTTTAAAAATGCATTTTTTTTTGGAATTAATGTAAGTGGGCTAATAAGATAAATGGTTCCAATTACGTAATTGATACAAATTACAATTCATTCATGTGTCTATGTGGGCGGGTGAAATACGACAAATGCTCGGAAAGTAAGCCGATACAAATACATCGTGGTGACGCCTTATTTTTGATATCAAATAATAAATTATTTTCTATGTAACAAAATTATTCTAATCCATTTGAAGATGCAACAGCTGTAACTTAATACCGTTATTATTGTTAAACAACGTTACGGCTTGAGACCAACATATTTTTATTGAATTAAAGTAAACGACGCCATATTTTATATTAAATTTTAGTCACACAAAAGATTAGTTTGTGACATTGACATTGAATTGAAAACTGACATTTTAAACTGTAACTGTAGGAGTTGTAGAAATATTATCTTTCGCTTGTGTTTTTCGACGAAATTTTAATTATTTAATCGATAAATATTAATCATAATTAAATTAAAAATAACCGATTGATGATCAATAAATCAGGTATATATATTTGTGTGTACATATACGATATATATTTGTGTTATATATTAAAATTATGTAGGATATGCAGATAATTCTTTAAAGATAAACATTATTAATTGTCTCTGACATATAACCTGTATAAATGTAGTACGTGACAGTTTTTCTATAAATAGTTTTATTTTTCTTTATTTACTTTAAGTCAGAGATGTCAAGTACGAATCAAACGCACATCAAATAATATTTTTTTGTATGTTGTTCTCTCTAAGATCAATTGAGTGTTAGTAATATACATTATAATTATAAAACTTAATATAAAACCAACGTTTAAGAAACAAGCTAAAATAAAATTACTGTCTTAATATTTTTGGAATGTAAGTAAAAGGAAAGTACTTATTTACCATACACAAAAAAAAATTATTACCAATTACCTCCACAACAATAAAATTTATTAACTGTATTTAAAGTAGTTACATAATATAAAACTAAAATACATGTTAATTCTTTTATTACTTATTATGAAGAATGATAAATATTTAAACTTAGAGACATATGTAGTTACAGCTGTGCAGTATAAGCTGAATAAATTATGTTTTTAAATAAAGAATTTTGTTAAATATTTTCCGCTTACATTCTGATAATTTATAATAGAATTAAGTAGTATGAAATATTTATCAAATTCAAAGAAAGAATCTTTACCTACTGTTACTGCATAATTATAATGTAAATTAATTTGATAACCGCTATCTGCGATATGAAATTAACAGGAAAGGAAAGAAATAAGAATATAGGTCTGTCTATCTTAATACTTTTATCAACTTGGAAACACAATTTAAATAAAATTAACTACACGTCATGATGTACACGAGTGGGCTTTGTTCCAAAAATACTTATAATGCATACAATATTTTTAATATGTCAAATTTGACAGATAACATTTATAAGTTTGAAATCGATCATTTCGAAGAATGCGTTTTAATGAGAATTTGTATGCAGTATGCACCGACGCCGTGCAGTGTCAAGTTTAATATTGATTTAATTGCATTCCAGGAATGTGTGGAGTAAACATCTTGTAAATAAAATGTTGTGAAAGAATCCAAATGCGTCGTCTTTCGGTCATTAACATACGTCGGATTCACTGTATTTTGATTTTATATTTAGCTTTATTGATTTGACGTTTTATTTATAGTGTCAGCGCGTTGGCATAACTGCAACAAAGGAAAGTGCATTTTGTGCTCTTATGCTGGTAATTTAAAAAAAAAAAACAGTTGAATGACCTTGAAAACTTATTAATACGGATGTGATCAGCGACTTTTGTTTTTTTTTAATAAAAGTTAATGTAACAATCTTTGTTTAATAATCCAAAAGCTCTTTGTTAGGTCTGTTGGTTATAATTAAATTAAGAGACTCGCGTAATCGTCTATAATAGAATGCATCCATAGACTATACAATATTATATTATTAGGTATCTATATGACAACAATTACTCATTGTTTTAAAATAAACAATACATCTCTTATCGACTGTTGGGTATCCCGTTCATGATATATATGTAAAGAACATTATTTTTTACAACGTAACACGTCCTTTTGTGTTAAATAACTAAAATGTATACAACACCAATAACCCATGGTAATTCTACTATGGATGCTTGACGACCCTGGATTTGTACCAACGAACGAACAAAACCGAGGACAAAATGAAGTATTTTAAGATATTTACTGTTGTATTCACTTTAAAAACGATAATAGTCGCATTATCATACAAACACGCGGAAATTGTTTACCGTATTTTTATTATTTTAAAAATAAATTATGTTCTTAAGTGACAATGAAACTTGAAATTTCTGTGTAAACAATAAAAGAACTCTGTTGATATCAGTTATGATATTTAAGTAAAAGGTTTGTTGCAACTATTTGAATTTACAATAACAAATATTAATATTAAACTTAATTGCTTTAAATACTGATCCTGTAAAGGGAAAACAAGAGCGCACATGGCAATTAAATAAAGAATTATTTTATCAGATTAATAAAACTTAAATATTATATAGATAATGTTAAATTTAATTACAAAATATTGTATCCCCTAAATAATCGTATTTATCAATTCAACTTATCATTGGATACCTCAAAATTTCTTATCGTAT